GAGGGAGGACAGTCAGCTTGCTAAGGTAAATCATTCCTTCAAGTACTTGGATAGTATCAACTTTGGCTCCAGAGCGAGCTCCCTGATAGCATTGCGGAACCCTCCCTAGCTGTGACAGCCCGGTGAACTGTCAGTGAACTGTCAGTGAACTGTTCAGTGAACTGTCTCCTTCTATTTCACTCGAGTCAGACTTGCATCAGCGTCCCCTCTCCTGTCTTGCTTCTTTACTGGTTCCTTTATATAAGTGTTTCTCCAAAAATAATCCTTGCACATTTAGTCCTGTCTTGGCTTCTTGGAGGACCCTGTCAAACTCAGGAGACTCCTGCATGGTGTTCTAACTACCCAAGTCTGGATGAGCTCGTCTAGTGCAGGTGAGAAGATGGACAAACTTGTTGAAACAAAAGATCGTCTGAGTAAACCCAGAATTTATTAACTTCATAGACTTCACTATGGGAGCTCACACAGGATAAATCTTTAAGAGGTGAGAGCAGAATTAATGTATACATTAAAAAGCAAAGGAACAAGTAAAAGGAAGGATGGCTTTTAGAGTGGTGTACAGTAGTAAAAAAAGAAATCAGACCAAATTAAGGAGTGGGTTAAATTGTTGGAAATTTCTGGAAAGGAGAAAGAATGGCAGATGGAAAAGAGTACCCGAAGTACCTTCCCCACATCCTTTAGAGAAGGAGTATATACAACAGAAAGGCTTCAGGGGCCCCCAGCATCTCAGGGCTAAGTAAAGACAATGCCTTGAAGGGCAAGTGATAGACGAGGATCCCTCCAGCCCCCGAGTCAGAAGCTGCAGCAGGTGAAGAGTATCTTCTGTGCCAGGATCTGTGGAAGGCAATTCCTTAGTTGCAATAATGGAGAGCAACTGCAGGTGAACTCTCCATTTAAGGCAGGCCCAAAGAAGTCCACAGGAGGGTCAACTGGGGAGGTCTTGTTCTTCAGGACTAGAAAGAAAATCCATGCCACAAGAAAGAGCCCACCTTCTGGGCTTCCAGAAACCCAGGGCCCAAGAGGAAACGGGAATTGAGATATATTTTTTTAAATGCTAAAGGGGAAGACAGATGCCTCATATGAACCAAGACTATCTCCATCTGCCCCTCAGAACTTGTGTCATTAGTGCCTGGTAAATTCTTTCACCTCTGTAGTGTGTTCTTGGGCCATATATTAGCCACAAACATGTTTCTGGCATGCAGATAAAATTGCATCTAAATCTGGTAGATGTGGGATCAGTGTTACAAGAATCTTCAGTGCTCTATTAATTCTAGACTCCAAGAGATGGCTTTACCTCCTGCTTCACAAACCACCAATAAAGAGAAGTCCTTTAACTTCATGGAGCTTTTGCCGCTTATCCATCTTCACTGTCATGTTCTTCCTCAGGCTTAATCTTACTGTATTTTTGAATGCAGGGACTCCCCTCCTTTCTCTGTTTTCTCCAGACCAGGAAATGATAGCATGATTTACTCATTTGTTCAGGCTATCAATATTTAAGAAATAATCTCTATAATCGTCTTTTCCTGAGTCTTTCCTCCTCAACTAATTCGTTGGCATGTCCAATTTACTTTACTTTAAAAATATTTCCTGAATCTGGCCCTCCCTGGTGGCGCAGCGGGTTAAAGCACAGCACTGAGAATCTAAAGCCACTTCTGCATGAGTTCGATTCCCGCCTGCCCCGGAGGTGACCACATGGCATGGCAGACCTCTCCTGACCCGCCCGCTGCTCCCCTCAGCAGTGTACTTCATCGATCTGCCTGTTCTGCTCCCCACTCTGTCTCTGGTGAAGCCCTTCACCGCCCCTGAGCCTCTGGACTGTATGCACAAATAAATAAATCTTTAAAAAAAAAAATTTCCTGAATCCAACCTCCCTCACTGTTACTCTGATTATTATCATATGTTTATTATCATATGTAACATTTGATTTAATATTCAAATTTTAATAACGAATGAATAAAAATCTCCTTACCTCTAATCTTCTCTTATTCCAGCCCAATATCTACAAGCAGACAGAAAGGTCATCTGAAAACAAACATGAGACCATTTACTCCCCTGCTTAAAATGCTCCCATGACTTTCCATTGCTCTAAAAGTAAATTTTTTTTAACCACAGGCTATAGAATTTATGTAAGCTGGTTTCAGCTTTCCTCTTCCATAGTCTATCATATCTCTCGCTTCATCCACAACATTCCAGACACATGACTTTTCTTAGTTTTTTACATAGATCAACCAGGTTCTGATTTAGGGGCCTTTGCCTGGCATCAATCTAAATACCAAACTAATCAATCCTTATCATACCCTGTCAAATTTCTGTTTTATTCTTTTTAGTGCCTTTATCACTGTCTGATACTATTATTTATTAATGAGCTTATTTTTATATTGTCAGTCTAGTCACCAAATATATGATTATAATGAATAAGAGGTTTGCCATTTTTGTTTCTTTTTATTCCTCTTAGAAAAATGCCTGGCACGTAATAGGTGCTAGGTAAATGTTTATTGAATGCCTAAGTGACAGGTGTCAGGGCTTCATGTAGCACAGAAGATTCAGGAAAGATACTACTTCACTGCTGTGACATTCAGTGTTCAAGTTGTAACAGGTCCCTTACAGGCCAACAGTTTTACTGGGTGTGTGCCAGACTGGAACACAGGTATCCCTTTAAATGTTGGGACTTTCAGCACTTGGATTTAGTGCTAGGAGCAATAACCATTTCTCACTGATCCTGGCACTACAGTAAGATGCTTTTTGGGTCAGTTGCTGGTTTCCAATTCTTCTGGGTTCCTTGGCCACTCCAACCCTTTCCACTTATCATTTTCCAAGGTCCCGGCTGGTCAACTTCTCCCAAAGCCCTATATTTAACTATCTTAGAAGTCTTAAAATCTTCCTTTAACCTTGCTCTGGGAATCAAGGAGGCAAAGGAAATCTTTCTCTTTTTCCTAATGCTTCTACACCAGTCAAATGAAAAACAAATTATTTTTTTTAATAAACTATCAGTGATCAGTCAGGAATTAATATTACCATTCAGGATTCAAGGGACCTTGCCTCCTTGTTCTGGGAAGACAGGGACTAAAGCAAATACTTGTTTCACAGACTGCAAATTGGTAATGGATCAGAGCCTAGAAGAAACAGTAGTGAGAAAGAATTAAAGAAGCTGGCTGGCTCACAGGTACGTTTCATTCACCCTGAATTTATGACTTTCCTCAGAGTCCCTCCCTGCTTTACATGCCGCTGTGGCTCCTTGCACCAAAGAAAAGAAGACCCAGAAAGTCAAATTTTGGAGTTCTTTGTTTCTTAGGCAAAGGTGTAAAAGTTTGTTGAATGGCTATATGTGTGTGACTGATAAGATTCAGGGAATAAAACATGCACAGCTCTTACTCCTGTGACACTCACTTTGAAGATCCTGAAGGGCCAGAGTTTGGTCATGTAATTCTTCAGCAAAGTGACTGTACACCCAGTTTTGGGAAATAGCTTGTATTAGTTATCTGTTGTTGTGTGACAAATTACTCCAAAATGTAGCAGCTTAGGAAACAATTAGCATTTATTATCTCAGTTATCTGGGAGTAACTTGGCTATTCTTGTGAAAATACTAGCTTTTTAGAAATAATCACTGAGGCAGCCCTGGATGTGGCAAAGAATGGAAACCAGTTATGGGACTGCCCTAACATGAAAATGATGTGACAACCTTGAGCTAAAGTTCAAAGTAAACAGAATGTGAGTATTTTATTTAGAAATGTAAGTAAAAGCATATGTAAAATTGGTTTTCCACACTTAAAATATTGATACAAATGTATTTATTAAAATAAAGTCACATAAAATTGTGATTTATATGTTAAAACTTAAAGATTTAAAAAATACCTTTTAAAAGGTTTGTTTAATAGTGCAGAAAAATTTGGGTGGCATTCATCCAATTTATGCTAAATTGTGAATCCTTCTTCAGAACCACAAATTGGAACAGAAAAAAAGTAACAGGGACTTTCAAACACTAGAAAAGCAATCCCATTCTGAAGCGCCTGTGTGTATACTATTGGAGTTGGTGACAGCAAGGGTGTGTCTGCTTGGTTTCAGTGGATCTGCCAAGAGGCTGCACCAGTGGCCACTCCTCTCAGCAGCAGGGGAGAGTCCCAGAGCATCATCTGGCAATCTCCTTCATGTTCATTTTAGGCATTCTGCTGAGTGTACGCAATGCTGCTTCTAAAAAACCAACATTTTTTTTTTCAACCCCTCTCTGGAAAAGGAATCCAGCCTTTCCAGTCAATCCTTCATTGGGGCAGAAAGGATGGAAGAACACATTTCCAGAAGATCCGTATCTAGGGCGCAACCATGCAGAGCAAGGCCCCGCAGGGCTGGGCATTCAGATGTCATCTCCACTCCCGGCAGTAACCAGTTTCCCCGCCTTTTCTCATCTCCGAAGGTTCAAATCCTGCTCACGCCTGTAAAGGCTGGTCAGAACTGACCTCCAAAAAGTCCCTCCTCATTTCTCCTTCTCTTTCCCAACCTTTTGTCCTGAAACTGGCAATTTGTGGATGTGTGAAGTTGGGCATCTGCAGGACAGCTGCGTCTGTGTAACATTTAATCGAAGCCCCTAAGTTGATGCTTTATGACCCGCCAAGGACCAGGGAATGAAGGAGCCGAAACAGAAATGTAATACCCTAGGTCAGCCCACGCGTCAGAGCCCGAATACAAGTCTAAACCTTGAAGAGGTCCATGTGCTTCTCATCTGCGTGTCTCGGAAGAAACTGCACCCTGAAATACTAGTCTACTGGGTTGGCCAGAGACACCTTTGCGCAAATCCGTTCTCAGGGGTACTACCTGAGACCACACAGCCCTTCCCCACACCCCAGGTGCTGCAGATGCCTGGGGGTTCTCAGACTCCGGCCCTTCCGGGATTTGTGTCGAATCTGCCGGCGGCAACCGGGCCCGCGCCGCGGGGTGGGGAATGTGCGGCTGCGCGCGCGCCGCGGCGCTTACGCGGCGATTTCATCATGTTCGGGGCCTGGCCGCGCGCGCCGCTTCCGCCGCCGCCCCCTCCCGACCGCCAAGGGCCGCCGGCTCATGCCCTCTCCGCGCCCGGCGCTGCTTAGAGCCGCCCGCGCCGCTCTGCTGCTGCTGCTGCCGCCGCCCCGGCTCCCGGCCCGGCCTCCGATCCCGCCTCGCCGGCTCCTCTGCGCGCCCTTCAGTGTCCCGACCTCTTTGCCCGCCGCCGCCTCCGGGAGCAGCATGGACGGCGCCGGGGCTGAGGAGGTGCTGGCACCTCTCAGGCTAGCCGTGCGCCAGCAGGTACCGGCATTTTGAGCTTCTTTCCAACCCTCGGTTCTAGTCCCACTGGCCAGCCCTAGTCACCCCCTGTCCTCCCTCGGCACCTGTCCACCTTGCGGGTTACCTCTCTCCCTTCTTCTTTGGGCGTACTCGGTTTCTTGGCATCTTCCTCGACTCCCCCACTTTGGGTCCAAGTCCCCGGGCGCGGTGGCCACCATCTGCGTCCCCCCGCTCTCCTTGAGTAACTCCCTCGAATCCCCTTCGACATCCTGATTCCCTCTCCTCGCGATCTGTTCTTTCCCAGTCATTGTCAGTACTGCCTGAGCTTCCCTCCGGTGGAACTGGGCTCCTTGACACGGGCTCACCTCCTGTCCTAACCCAATAACCTCATCTTTAGCTTTCCAGTTTCTGCTGTGTTCTTTGTGCACCCTGGGAGGTGAGGGTCCTAATTTTCTCCCGGTCAGTTATGAGCCGAAGCCAACTATTTCGCTTTTTTTTTTTTTTTAATCTTCAGGATGCTTTGACGAGTGTTTTTTTCTTGACATCTTCCTTTATGCACTGCTAATTAGCCGAATGTTCGGCTGAGAAAATAGAAATAGTTGAGCTGTGGGTGTTCAACTTTTTCAGCTAATAATGATGTGAGTTCATCGTCCTTCGCTCTTGTCATCTTTACCGGATTCCGAAAGGACCATTAATGAGGGAGCTTTCAGATCGCAAACCCGGGATACTGTTAATGTTGCTGAATTACTGGGTGAAATTAGTCAGCCTTAGTGTACAACATTTTGAAATTTGATTTTTCTGTAAAGGAGATTTCATGGATTAAAGCGCTCCGTGTTTTTTATCCAGGCCTCCTTTTCCTAAGGCACTGTATGGATGTCAGAATTAAGAGAGGGCAAGGAAAACATTTTTTTTCCCCCAAACGAGTCTTACATCCAGCTAGGTAAAATCAAAAGCTTGCAAGAGAACCCTGGGAATCCATGACTTAGTAGTAAATACCAAACGGGTTTCTCCTGCACGGGTGCCTGATGCAATAACTTGCTAGCTAGGGAGGAACCATCTCTCCGAAGTAATTCATTGTGGCAGAACTGTGCAAATTCAACAAATTCTGTCTTTTTGCAATGTCTGCTTGTTCCTAATTTGAGCCTGACTAATTCAGTCGTGTATTATTTTTACATTTTACTTTGGGCTTAGTTTTTTTTTTTTTTTTCTTCTTTACTGTTGGGATCAGAATGCTGTGTATTGTTACTTTCCATCTCCTTTCACCCACCCCACTCTCATATAAAGTTAGGTGTGGTTCCTTTGTCTTTTCTATAACTCAATTTTTTTTCACATCGTCCAGTTTAGAAAGGAGAATGCATCTAATTTGGAAAAACATACACCCAAACCCCTCCCTCTGCCACGTTAGCCTGGAACTGCAGTGCAAATTGTAGCAGGACTATGAAACTGGTTAACTGAAGTAAACTTTAGTCATGGAACATTTTGATGATGTTCCTATCTTATGTATTATTTAGGTTGGCTTTATTGTTAATTTTGTGTGCTTTAAGGTACTTTCTGAATATGTAAGTTTATGTAAGTTAGGTAGGGTTTTTCCACTAATTTTCCAGAACCACATATATTTCAGTACTCTGGAACTTTGAGGCCCTAGTGACACCAGTGTCACTTGGAAGGACTGTAAAAATTAAACCTCTCCCCTCTTTTTTTTTTGCTATGAGGGGAACTAGATATAATCTATGTGTTTTACATATTTCCATTGTGAAGTTTGTGCCTTTGAATATATCTTTGGAGTGAGATTTTTAACAACTTGTCTTGTTAGTGGCATGTGGTTTTTATAAATTTGTTTATGTAAATAAATGTTTATATATGCTTATATAAATATGTGTATATAAATTTCCTTACCTGCTATGCCACATGGATACTGTTGCTTGTTAGAGGCTTGGTATGTTGACTGACTGAAATTATTTTCACATGGCATAATCATACTTATTTCCTGGAGAAATAAGTAGTACAATTAAGGTGTGTGGTTTTTTTTTTTTTTAAGATTTATTTATACATACAAATGATTTATTTATAAATTTATTTATAAATAAGATTTATTTATGCATACAAAACTGGGGTACAGGCTAGAGGTGCAGGGGCAGTGAGAGAATTCACCAGAGACAGAGCAGGGAGCAGAACAGGCAAATCAACGAAGTACACTGCTGAGGGAAACAGCGGGCAGGTCAAGAGATATGTGTGGTGCCATGTGGATCGCCTTCAGGGTGGGGATCGAACTCCTGCTGAAGTGGCTTTAACTTCTTAGTGCTGTGCTTTAACCCACTGCACCACCAGGGAGGGCCCTAAGGTGCTTTTTTAAAAAATGGGAATTAGCAAAATGTGGACAGCCTTTATTTTGGCAAACAAGGGCATTGAAAAACATAGTGCAATAAACTGACATTAGATTTCCCCATTTATTTCATTAAAATGTTGTAATACCAAAAAAAAAAAAGGCAGATTATAACAGAATAAAGAGCAATCTTTTATAGTTAGTAGACTTATCCTCCTTGGAGCTTTCCAAGGTCAGAGCCATTTTCATAGTAAAGCTAAAATGTTATTTGCATTTTTCACTGTACTGATATTTGCACTGCAAAAGCTTTGGGGGGCAGGGGCAGGGGCAGGAGGTAAAACTGCTGGTTCTTAGCACTAATCTACTAAGGTATTTATATTCTACTTCTACTAAGTTTATATTCTCTGCCACACTGTAATAGTTTAAAAAAGTCAGTTTTGCTTTAGTGTCCTTTATGAAGTAGTAAAGATGGTTATTTTTTTTTAAAATCCAGACTTTTACACATATTAAAGTATTCTGGGTGATGAAATTGGGTGATGCACAAAACATTCTAAAATGTGATGACTTCAGAAAGAATACGTGTGATTGAGTTACAAGCCTAATTTTCTGCTTATTTTCATGGAATGCTATTTATTAGATGTTTGACAAGATATTATTTAATCACAGGTATTAGGTATTCATTTTCTCAACAAGGAGCGAAACCTTTCATTGCAAGAGGCAGCTGGTAGTATTTGTGGCCAGTAATAAAAATAAATTTGGGAAATTATGGAAAACCTGTTATCTTTTGCTGTGAGTACCAGCCACACAGTGCTTTAAGACTTCTGAGTATATGAGTGGTAATATCAAATTGTATTTATTTTGATACTATATAATAAATAGACCAGTATTTGGAAAAACTACATAACTCAATTAACCATTATTTTCCCAATGACCAGTGCATAATATTATTAAATCAGGTATTTGTTAAAGATGCATTCAGAATCTGATACCTTAATAGATTTAATGTAACAGTATAAAAAGTTCATTGTGGTGGTTTTCTTTTCTTTTTTAAAAGTTTATTTATGCATAAGGAACTGGGGTACAAGCCAAAGGTGCAGGGGAGGTGAGAGGCTTCACCAGAGACAGAATGGGGAGCAGGACAGGCAGATGGATGAAGTACACTGCTGAGGGGAGCTGCGAGGTGGATCAGGAGAGGTCTGCCGCCCCATGTGGATCATCTCCCCGGCTAGGGATCGAACTCACACTGAGGCTGCTGTGGCTAATATGCAGTGGCTAGCTTACAGTGCTACATCCTAACCCATTGCGTCACCAAGGAGGGCCATTGCATTGGTTTTCAATTCTAAATTGCAGCCCCCCAGAAGAACCTTAATAAATTATTACTTGTCAGAGTTTTAGTGTATCAAAGAAGAAATAGCTAGAGTTATTTGAAAAGACTTAAAATTCTCTTCTCTTTTCAGTTGTGTAAGATTTTCTTCATATACTTTACCCAAAATATAATCAAGAAGTAGGCAGATGTTCAAATCTGTCTTTAAGCCAGAAATGAAAGACTTGCAAAATTATAAGATTCATTCTCACTGATTTTGTTTTTATTTTGCACAAGTTATTTTTACAAAAATGATATTAAAAAAGATATTTATTTATGCATATAAGAATTGGGGTACAGACCAGAAGTGTGTGTGTGGGGGGGTAGTGGTGAGAAGATTCATCAGACACAGAGTGGTAGGTTACATGTTTGTGCGAGTGTGTGAGTGTGTGCTTTCCCCAAATAATATCTCTTTGTAAGATTCTGCACAACCTAAAGTACAGTCTTTAAATAAATTTTCATTGAAAAATCAGTGGGTTAAAACACTGATTATATTGAAGGCAGACTAAGCGATTTTTTTACTTTCTATCTGGGACAATAAAGTGCAGAGTGACTGCAAGAGAGGTGGGTGACTGCCACTAAATAAAGCGAAGTCAGTAGGAACTTGGAAAATGTCAACAAGGAGAAAGGTAATGACAGACTCCTAATATTTTTTTGAGGTCTAATTCTGTTGTCATTTCTGTGGAATCCCACTCATGGTAACTTGTTTGTTCATGGATTTTTAAAACTTGAGCTTTGTGCTTATTATTGTGGTGGCTAATATCTGTGAAAATTGTAGACCTAAGTGGAAGTTCTGCTTTTCCCTCAACTCCAGAGAGCAGTTGCTTCTGTTGGATACCCAAAAGTTCTACCAGTTTGGTAACTTTAGTTTTTCAGCTTGAGGTTTCCAGATCAGGTAGGGAGTGTTTTTGTTTTATAGTTTCCTCAGAATCTTCATGCTAGCACATTTGTAAGGAAATCATTGGTTAGTTGTTGGAATTGAATAAAGTCTCTAGAGAAATTAGCAAGGAAAAAAATTTCAACAATTAAGGACAGGAGCTGAGTCAGTGGTGACTGAGAAGAATTAGTCAAAGGAGTAGGTGGAAAACTAAGACCGTCATTTTTCAGTAAGAGAAGCGAAGACTCAAGGACAGGATGGTCTATTTATTGGTTCTTTTGTGGGCTCAGTACTAATCTTACTCATTCCTACTATTCCTACTTTTTAATCAATGCTTTTCCCCCCATTCCTTCCGCCAAAAGAAAAAAAAAAAAATCAGTGATAGTCACCCTGTAAGCAGTTACCTGTGTATTTCCATGGATGTTTTGTTGGATTATAAATGCTGCCAGGCAGAGACCAGAGGCATTATTCATAATGATGTTTCACATAATAAAAATTTGAATTTCCTCACTCATTCACAGACTTTTAAAAGGCATGGGTAAAAGCACATTGCTAAATTTTGAAACCAATCCTGAATAAGAAATTCTCTTTTTCATCTAGGGAGATCTTGTTCGAAAACTCAAAGAGGACAAAGCACCCCAGGTAGATGTAGACAGAGCGGTAGCCGAGCTCAAAGCCCGGAAGAGGGTTCTGGAGGCAAAGGTGAGTCTTGACATCCTAAAATAGAACCCTAAGCAGGTATAGGATAGTTCATTTTTATTGAGTGGGAGAGAACTATAAAAGTTTTGAGCAATAACATTTGTTTTATTTAGGTGTTTTTTCCTTCTCCTCTGCTTAGCACACTCCTTTTAAAAGTACAACTCAAAAGGTCACCTTTTTTATATACCTTCCCTCACCCCTGACCCAAGCCTCCTTCCCCCAGCCTCAAATCAAGTATTTACTATTGTGCTCTTTATGAATTATCCTATGGAAGTAATGTTTTATTGCTTTTGAGCTTGCTTTTTTTTTTTTAAGGAAAATTTCTATCATTTGGTACCTGCCTCCACCATCAAACTGAAATAGTTTGGAGCTTTAAGTCACTTTTTTGCCTTAGTGATCACTATAGTTTTAGAAATTATCATAAAGTTTTCTAAATAAATTAGTATTATCTTTTCTGTAACTCAAGGAAAAAATCCTAGAGCTTCTGCTGTAAGGACATCAAAATCTTGTGTGTTTAATAAATTTTACACAGAATTTTGCTGGTAAATAAATATCACATATACAAATTCAGGTTCTTATTCACACATTTAATCACACATTTCTTTCTAAAATTCCCTTAAAGGAGCTAGCTTTACAGCCCAAAGATGACATTGTAGACCGAGCAAAAATGGAAGATACCCTGAAGAGGAGATTTTTCTATGATCAAGCTTTTGCTATTTATGGAGGTAAGGAATTCATGATAGGACGAAAATTGTATCAGTGACTAATCTTGTACTTAAACCAAAAACACAGTTTGGTATCTCATAATCCCTAATGATACCTATAAACACTTGATTCCTAATTGTATCAAGTTATGGAAAGCAGAGAATAGATACTTTGCTTTTGTTTGTTTGGAGTAAGCCGTTTGGCATAATACCTGTTCTTATTTCCCTATAGCCTACTTATTCTTGAATGCTACTTTTTTCCATTAAGAATGTAGGGAATTTTTAGAGGTCCAGGCATTAAGTGTTTGATATATATGTGTATATATCAGATAGGCTTTTTAAAAAAGATATATTTATTTCTACATACAGAACTGGGTTACAGGCTAGAGGTGCTGGAAATACACTGCTGAGGGAAGCAGTGGGCAGACCAGGAGAGGTCTGCCATGCCAGGTGGGTTACTTGCCTGGCTGGGGATTGAACTTGTGCTGCAGTGGCTGCAATAGCTTCAGAGTGCTGTTTTTTTAACCCCAAAGCATCACTAGGGAGGGCCCATAGACTTCTTAAAATATTATGTTGACTTTGGAGCAGTAGAGGGCCTGTGTAGCACTGTGGAATGCATTATATGTAAACTTCCACCCAAGGGCAGTGATAAACCAGAGTCCCTAGATTAATTTTTTTGTGACTGCTAGAAAACCACTTTTATAGGTATATAGAGAAATCTCTACATCTTTCTGATTCCTATATGAAGGTGGATATAATTCACTGATGAAATATTTTGATATTTTTATCAAATTTTAATATAAATGACATTTTGTTTAGTTAACAGAGATAATTGTAACAATAATTGACTTTTAACTAGTCAGTTTAGTACTCGATTTAGGTTGTGTGAGCCGGTCTCTAAATGTTTAATTTCTTGAAGTTTAAATAATGACTCAAATACCCAAGAATTAATTAGAGAATTGGGTGCTAAAATTTTATATTTTTGTTACCAGCTGATGCAACAAATTATTTTCTAATTTCTATGATAGAAAGCTATAATCTGCTTTGTCATTCTGATTCTTGTGGAAGAACTTACTTTGTTTTCAGGATTTTGCTAACCGTACTTAAAACTCCAAACTTAGGAAATTGTAAATGCAATGAGAGCTTATGAATTTTCTTTTGTCATCTATCTGAAAGTAAGGCTGTTCAGTGCTGCAGGATTTAAATATTGACTTAGTGCATTTTTACAGAGTTTAGGAAGACTTACAGGTATTCATTTTGTCTCTTTGATTTGTTGAGAGGCAAAATAAAGTACACATTTTTCTTTTTGTATATTCAGGTGTTAGTGGTCTGTATGATTTTGGGCCAGTCGGATGTGCTTTGAAGAACAATATTATTCAAACCTGGAGGCAGCACTTTATCCACGAGGAACAGATTCTAGAGATTGATTGTACCATGCTCACCCCTGAACCAGTTTTAAAGTAAGATTTCTACTTTGAGGACTGAAACTCTATGATATGCATACTTAAGTAATTTTTCTGATTATACGAATTATTTTTATTTATCCTTAAAATCTGGAAAATAAAATCAAAGAGAATATATGCCTGTTGCCTACAGAATGCCCCTTTAAAATTGTACTTATCTTTCTGATCTTTTTTTTTATAAACTCACATACATACTAAGGAAGTAATCAGGGCTGTCCGCAAAAGTTTATCTATCAGGATGTTTATTTAGTGCTGGTAAAACTTAGGAACAACTGAAATTCTTACAACATGGCACTAGCTAAATAAATTCTGCCACATCCATAAAATAGAATGCAGTGTTGTAAATAAGAATCTATGCCTGTACGTGCACATATATTGATGTTGACATCAGTATATGTGTGTGTGGTATATGTATATGGTATACATGCTTATACCACCTATATGTTGCAGATACAAGCCAGTGATGTGTGTACATATGCACACACATACATGTACACACGTGTGTACACACACATGTACGCATGTATGTGTGTATATACGCTCACACACACATCAGTGTTTCAGCAGCACCGATTTACCTTTTCCCCCACAATGCAGATGAATATGTACTTATGTCATTAAATCTTTTAGAACACCCTTTTTTTTTTTTTTTAAAGATTTATTCATTTGTACATACAGAACTGGGGTACAGGCCAGAGGCTCAGGGGCGATGAGAGGCTTCACCAGAGACAGAGTGGGGAACAGAACAGGCAGATCGACAAAGTACACCGCTGAGGGGAGCAGCGGGTGGGTCAGGAGAGGTCTGCCACACCATGTGTTCACCTCTGGGGCAGGTGGGAATCGAACTCATGCGGAAGCGGCTTTAGATTCTCAGTGTTGTGCTTTAACCCGCTGCGCCACCAGGGAGGGCCCTTTTAGAACACTCTTAATGACAACATTGTATTCTGTTTTATGGATGTGGCAGATTGTATTTAGCTTGTGCCATGTTGTAGAAATTTCAGTTGTTCCTAAATTTTGATTGCAGTGAACATCCCGATAGGTGAACTTTTATGGATAGCCTTGATTATTTCCTTAGTATAAGTTCATATAAGTTCTGGGCAAAAAGGTGTGTGGTATACATTTTGAATAAATACTACTATTTAAGGTTTTTTTTTTTAAAGATTTATTTATTTGTGCATTCAGAGCTGGGATACATGCTGGGGTGAGAGGATTCACCAGCGACAGAATGGGGAGCAGAACAGGCAGAAATATTGAAATACACTGCTGAGGGGAGCAGCAGGAGAGATAGGAGAGGTCTGCTATGCCATTTGATTCACCTCCCTGGCCAGGGATCGAATTTGTGCTGCAGTGGCTGCAATAGCTTCATAGTGCTGTGCTTTAAGCTGTTGTGCCACTAGGAAGGGCCCTATTTAAGATTTTAATGTAAAAATTTAGATTGTTCCTACCAGAGCAATATTTTTTTGCTGTAAAATTATGAAAAAATAACTCTTACCTCTTTATAAGAATTAATTTGTTTGGCACTTCATTTATATTGCCTACTAAAGAGATAATTTTCACTATTTACATCCTTTAGGGCTCTCAATAATTTCAGTCAAAGTGAATTCCTAATAATGATTCTAAAGTATCAGAACAGATTGTTTTTTAGTTACTTGTTCTGATAATAGAAACTGTATAATACCAGTACCCATATACGTTTCACTGGCAGAAAACTCTTCTTAAGGTTCAGTGTTTATATGAGTAATAACTCATGTATTCTTGCTTACTCTTAGATTTTGACCTTCTCTTAGATTACTACTAATAATGGGATAGACATGGATTAATCGATTCTGCATAGTAGCACAGACTATAAAAAGTTGTGAAAAAGTATAATCTCATCGATATGTTTTTTCACATGGATAGGAGAATTTAGGTAGAAAGAGAGAATAGATTTGAGGAAGAATTTTCTGTGGCATAGAGTATTTTCTACCATGGATGTGTTATTGTAGATATGGGAAATTGCATCTTTCAGATACGTAGATATAAATCATATAAAGAAATGTATAGGAGGGGCATTATCATATAAGGTGAAATCTATGGGTTAATCATAAAATGACCAGTTGACTTGGTGTTCATTAATTTAGGACTTCTGGCCATGTAGACAAATTTGCTGACTTTATGGTGAAAGATGTTAAGAATGGAGAATGTTTTCGTGCAGACCATCTATTGAAAGGTATGGTTCTTACTGTCAGGTAAATGTACTTTCAAATAGGATTGATGAAAACAAAGGGTTTAGGTTAAACTTTTCTCTCAAATTATTTTAATAATTTCTTTCTTGAGACAGTGTTGGAAGAGTATAGTACACATATCTTAAATATTTGGATCAAGTGCTTTATTTAAAAAAGTTATAAGCAACTAATTAGACATTCCAAGTCAGCATAAAGATCAAGGCATTATTACGACTGCCTCTGTAAAATCAATAATGGGACTTATATAAACTAAGGGCATTTTCCTTGGATTAATTTTTTTTTTTTTTTGCCTAATCCATGTTAAAACTCAAACTTTTTCATGTTGATTGAAATTGACATGTACCAATGCTGTTCTGGTAGCTCATTTACAGAAATTGATGTCTGATAAGAAGTGTTCAGCTGAGACGAAATCAGAGATGGAAAGTGTCTTGACCCAGGTGAGTTCTTGAGAAAATGTTATCACAGTATCTTAAGTGTTTATCTCAGGACTTGATTAACTGTTGATTCCACACTGTGCTGACCCTGTTGACAGTTGTGTAGAAGCAAAGTATACCTTCTGTTATTCTACCATCTCTTTGCATTTTTACTTTATTTTCTCTATCTTTGATGCCTAACCCTTTATTTCAACCAAAATTAGGAAGTCTGTGTGAATAGGTGTGAAATTTGTTTTCTCTCCTTGAAATTAGTTTTGTGGGTTTAGCAGCAAAAACTGGAGGTGTGTGTTCAGTGATGAGTAGTGTTCAGTGATGGTGTGGAGACTTTATAAGTATAGTCTCATCAGCGACTTGATCTGCTGCTGGTTGCACTGTCCCTGACTATGCTATTATACTGAAACCTGATCGCCATATAGAACTAAAGTTTTATCATCTGTATTTAAGGTGACAAATTTATGAACAACAAAAGGATCATAGGGATTATCTATGACTTACCAAGTGTAGGAATACCTTCCATATCAAAAGTAGTTCTTATCTTGGCTTATAGGCCTTTTTAAGAATATGAAGAAAACTGCACATCTCTGCCCAGAGAGATACATGTGTATGTGTGTATGTGTTGCTGCTTTCTTACTTCATTATCTATTTAAGCAAAGAACATTTTTTTCATAGCATGTTTGATCCTGAGGTCCACCAGGAAATCATCTCTTCAATTTTACTTACTGTCTTGAGTAAAACAAAAGCACAAGCCAGTGTTGTGTTTATACATTTTTCCTTTACGTTAGTTTGTATATGTGAGACTAACTGTAGGATTCCCTAACTCTTTGCTTTGTTTCTAGGAGAATTACTAGAAACTTTTCCACCATTGCCCTATTTTTTTTTGACATATGCTCTTTGGACATGTAATGTCTAAGAAATTTTATCATTAGCTGAGAAATTTTCTCCTTCCTCTTATAAATTGAAAATATCTTAGTTTGTTGACCCATTTGCAGATTTATTTTGGTACTTAATTAGATTTTGGTCCTTTTTATATCTCATTGCTTTAGTATGATTTCTCATGGTATATGAAATCAATTCGTGTATTTTGATGCCACTATACTTACACATTCAGTTTTCATATCCTTCCTCTTCCAAAGGTATGACTGTGTTGTAAAGAAAGAAGAAAGGAAAAGTGCCTTGAATTACTTTGAGTTATTCTGTTTTTCTTACAGAATATTAGAAATTTAGATGTTTAGGTGTTATGTGTAGATATATGATTGTCTGTGGTTTTAGCAGTTTCATATATTTCCACATAAGGTGTCAGAAGCAGGAAAAATTATTTCATTTGTTAGCCATTATTTTATAACTTTCTAGGAGAGCAGTTTGTTTTTGATTTGCCATATCAAATAACCATAGAGCTGTCAATATAATCTTCAATGAAGAGTTGGGGACCTATCAGAAATTGTGTAGTACTCAGAAGGCTCATTTGTTGCTTGAGCACACAGAAACACTTTCTGTACCTGTTTAGTGCCTATGACTCTTTAAAGTTGTATGAAGCATGAGAGTTTTCTTTAAAAGGCTTTGATTTACCTAGTTTGGTAGGAAGAATGTTACTCTTGTTATATGGTTTCAACAGCTCAAAATTCTCCTTTCTCTTCACCTGTTCATTTGTACTAAGCCATCACTGGGTGTGCCAGGTTTTGACGTAATTTTAAAATTTTTTGTTACGAAAAATTCAAAAGTAGAAGATAGTATAAAAATTACACTTATACCCACCAGCCTGCTTCAGTATTAACAGATTTTGTTGAATCTGTTCCCTATTAAATGCTCTGCCTTCCCATGAACTTTTTGAAGTGTGTGTTAATTATCATTTTATTACACCGCTAAATGTTTCATTCTATATCTCTAAAACATCAAGATTTTTAAAAATGAGTATCACTGATGTCACCTTGGTAAATAATATTTCTTTTAAAAGAGTTATTTATTTATGCTTATAGAACTGGGATTAAGGTCAGAGGTTTGGTAGGTGAGAGGATTCACCAGAGACACTGTTCCCCAGTAAGTGGGGAACAGAACAGGCGGATCTACTGATACACACTGCTGAGGGAAGCAGCGGGTAGACCATGGAAGGTCTGCCACTCCATGTGGGTGATCTCCTTTGGCTGGGGATCGAACTGGTGCTGCATTAGCCTCTGTGAGCTTCATAGTGCGGTTCTTTAACCTGTTGCACCACCAGGAAGAGCCCAATAGTAATAATTTTTAAAATTATATATATAGTCAGTATTTACAATTCCTGAACGTTTACCTTTTTTTTTTTGTAGGATCCTGGCTATCCTTTGGTTGATAAATTCTTCAATTTCTTTGATCTGTAGGTTTTTTGAATCTTTTTCCTTGTATTTTCATTAAAAAATTTAAGTTGAGACATTTGTTCTTTAGTGTTTTCTGCTGTCTGGATTTGGTTGATTGCATTACTTTAGTTGCATTTCACGTGTTCTTTTCTTGTATTCAAGCCTCTGAGGTAGAGACTTGAACAGATACTTTTGGCAGAACCCTTGGTAGTGGTGTGGATGACTTAGAGCCACTGATTATCATTGTCTAGATCCATTAATTAATTAGGGATTCCAAGTGGTGATTTTGTCATTCTTTTTCATTTATCAGTTAGAATATTTCCATATAGTTGGGCTTTCCCTGATGGTACAACAGTTAAAGCACTGCACTATGAAGCTCTCAGAAGCCACTGCAGCATGAATTTGAGCTCTAGTCAGAGAACTGACCCATATGGGGTGGCAGACATCTCCTGACCCACCTGCCGCTCTCCTCAGCAGTGTATTTCAGTAAATCTGCCTGTTCTGTTCCCCACTCTGGCTCTGGTGAATCCTCTCACCTACCACACCTCTGGCCTGTACCCCAGTTCTGTAAGCATGAATAAATAAATCTTTACCAAAAAAATTTCCTTATAGAAAAACTCCTTTATAGACCATTAGATTTCTCTGAATTTTTTTTTAAATTGGAAAGTATATAATACCTGCATAATTATGACAGAATGACAAGACCAACACTGCCATCAATATTATGAATATAGAAAATATTTAAAAAACAGTTTTTATTCTTTTTTCCTTAAGGATAAACAACTGGTATGACATTTGATAACTATTTAAAATTACTTGGAGTTATTTTCTCAGAATAATTTATCTCCCCCCCCCCACTATCTAGATATATTGAAACCCCATATATCTAGATATAGGTATAGATATATATACCATTACATTTTATAACTTTATAGTTCCCCATTGTGTAGATGTACTAATTTATAGGATCACTCTCTTTAAAGTGGTCAAAAGGTACATGCAAATATAATTTTGTTAGCTAATGACAAGTTATACTTCTTAGGGTTTTGATTCCTGTCTGTATTCTCAGAATCTTTTCTTTCTGACTTTTTCAGAAAGAAATACAATATAAGAGTATTGAAAAGACTCTTATATTGGAATACAATATAAGAGTATTGAAAAGACTGTGTATTCTTGAATTGTCTGGGAAATATAGATTTTCTATATTCTTTTTGAACTTCTCAGGTAGGGAGACCTTATGGTTTTGGTATTCATGTCTTAAGAGTCACTAGGACAGTTTCCTCATTGATCCAGCGTTCTAGGATTTCTAGAAATACAGTCTAGACAGCTTAATTAAAAGAAAATAAAATTGCTCATTCAAATGTGGACCACATGGTTAGTTTGTCTTTGTAGAGTGAAAATGTCCATTGAATTTATGAGGGGGCACTCTTTATCGAAGAGGTACTATAATCCAGCCCTGTGACAAATAAATACTTTTAATGTTCATTGTACCTCTTCATATTGTGGTAGATTCTGTTGTTCCCAAAAACATAAGCTGAGGCTAAGAGAGTGTAGGTAAGAACTTAATACTGAGTTGTATAACATGTAAAAGATAGTTTGGTGATTGGTTTTATAAATCTCAGTAAAAATGGTCATGAACTGACTTGAATTGTTTTGTTTCTACAGGGAATAATTTTTTAAGTTTAAATATTTTTAACTATTACATGATACAGTCATTTGAAATGTTTGAATTGGAGGTCGTATATCAGTTTAGAGGATTTGGTATTGATTATTAATGTATTGAACATGTAATACACTGGAAAATGCAAAGATGAATAAGACATTATATACATTATATATACCTTCAAGTAACTTATTACCTAGTGGGAGGGGAAGTTATATACACATTTAATTTATAAACAGAGAAGCAGGGCATCTGGTTTTTAAATTTGAACAGAGTTGTGAAATTCAATTTAAAAACTTATTTATATGACTTCATATTCTTTTCAGTCCAAGATTTTTGCTTAATCTTTCATTGAGAAATGGTGAATGAATGAGTTGTAGTTCAGTCCCAGAAAGATCCTCAATTTCTTTTCTGGTAAATAAACAGTTTGTAAACTGGTTACAGCTGTAATGTGGCTGGTTATCTTGCAGGTTAAGTTAATTCTGACATTCTTTTTTTATGTGAATTTTAATAGTAATTGAATGGGATTTCAGTATATCTTGTTTTTTCCTCAGTTTTTTCCTCAGTATTTATAGTAATTATTTTCTTGACATGTTCTATAGCTTGATAACTATGGACAACAGGAACTTACGGATCTTTTTGTGAACTATAGTGTAAAATCCCCTATTACTGGAAATGATCTGTCACCGCCAGTATCTTTTAACTTAATGTTCAAGACTTTCATTGGACCTGGAGGAAACATGCCTGGGTATGTTGTAGTTATTATTTATGTCCTGTTATTAAAATTGCCAGTAATGAAAGGTAACTGTCGGTATTAGCCATTTGAAAAGTAATATATATATAGAAAGTGTGGATAAATATATTAATGTGAAATAATCGGCACTCTTAAATTTTCTTTTTTTTTAATATACATTTTTAGTGCATGTGATTTTTTTTTTTTTTTTTTTTGCCATAAGATAATCCTGAAAGTGTAATCATTCTATCTCCTATTTACAACTGTATGGATCAGAAGGGACAGTTGAAAAACTATTTTGCAAGTCATTGAAACTTATTGCCAAAGTCAGTTTAATATGGTAGCCATTACTACATATGCTTGTTGAGCACTGATAATGGGGTTGGTGCATTTTAGGAACTGAATTTTAAAACATTTAATTTCAATTTAAATAGACATGTGACTAGTGACCTACATATTGGACAGAATAGGTTTTGCTTGTTGCTTTAAAAATTGTGGTATTCACAAGTAAAGGAAAACATGAACAATTTTTTACTTTTTCATTGATAAGATGATCAGGGCTGTAGCCTGCATTTCCAGGTTCTTTGTTCACTGTGTACAATCTTAGCCAAGGTATTCCATTTCATAGCGTTAGTTATTTTTCTTATGGTTTTATTTTAGGATGAAAGTAGGTTTTTTTTTGTTGTTGTTGTTTTTAAAGATTTATTTATTCGTACAGAACTGGGGTACAGGCCAGAGCTGTGGAGGGTGAGAGGATTCACCAGAGACAGAATGGGGAGCAGAACAGGCAGATGACAAATTACACCGCTGAGGGGAGCAGCAGGCGGGTCAGGAGAGGTCTGCCACGCCATGTGGATCACCTCCCGGGCAGGCGGAGATAGAACCCATGAGGAAGTGGCCTAAGCTTCCTAGTATTGTGCTTTAACCCACTGCGCCACCAGGGAGGGCCGAAAGTAGGTTTTTATTAAATGAAACTGTTTATAACATACTTTCTGTTTAGTAGAAACTAAAAACTAATACGAATTAATTGTGACAAAATGTGTTACTTGAATTATTTTTGACTTGTTAAAAATAACAAGTTATTAAAATAATACCCGGATGATTTTGTATATTTTGTGGAAAGAGGGAATGCTAAGGTAGACCTTGCATTTAACAATACTTAAGAGAATGATGAAGTGAGTCATACTGTCCAACCTGTTTTCCCATTCCTGGGAATTTATCCAAGGAAATAATTTAAAAGGAACGAAAACTATACTTATAAAGAACATATAAATTACAAATACCCAGTAATTTGAGGATGGCTAAATAAATTATAATAGATTCTTTTAGTAGACTAACCTGCAACTGTTAAACATCAGAGAAATATTTGTGATTATTTAGAAAATGGTCAAATATAAAATAGCTGAAATAAAACATAAGTTTACATATTACTTACAAATATAAACTGTAGTGATATTTGTATTTTAATGAAATCTGGAAAGGGCCATAAAAATTAGGGTAACATTATAGGTTTTGTTTTTGGCTTTAAATTGTTTCTGTAAAATACTTATTTTGAAGTAGACCATTGCACTTAATGTTATCTATGAAGCTGAACAGAGGACTTTGATTATATGTTCTTGGCTAAATCCTTAAAATCTGCAGAATTCAGAAAAAGCCTCTGACTCAAAATTTAAAGTAGAACAAGGAAGAAAATAATATTAACAACCTCAAAAATTGTCTGGTTTGGTGTCATGATTATAATGAGTAAGCTCTAATATTAAATATCATGTTGCTCACATGGCTGCTTTTTAGCCCCATAGTTGTGATTTAGTATGTGTTTTACTATGTGCTTAATATGTTTAAAGCTCTGCCCTAACAGAGCTATACTTAGACCTGGGTCTTATTTTCAGAAGAATTAAAATTGTTAGCTTCCATGTGAGTGACTAGTTAGGAGAGTATCTGAGACTTCAGGGACATTATGAGAGAGATGGTGTTTGACTCACTGGAGTGATTAAATAAAATCGCATTTCTAACAGTAATATCACCAAACCAATTACCTGTTGTCTAATACTTTCTTGAGATGTTTGCTACCAAGTAAAAATCTTGTTTAGACTTTGCTTTAGGGCCTCAGCAGCTTTGTGTGAAGACAGTATATTTTAGGACTGTTAGCATTTGTATCTAGGATTTCAGATTTGTTGAAAGACATAATTTCTTAATAGCAGACTGATTTATTTAAATTTATAGGTATTTGAGGCCAGAAACAGCACAGGGGATTTTCCTGAATTTCAAACGACTGTTGGAATTTAACCAAGGAAAGTTGCCTTTTGCTGCTGCGCAGATTGGAAATTCTTTCAGAAATGAGATCTCCCCTCGATCTGGACTGATCAGAGTCAGGTACTGTCCTTGTTATTCTTATAAAATTGGTGAACCACTTTGGCATTGAATCTTAATGGAAAGCTTATTATTTTCAAACAATTCTGCTTTATTCTTACTTTGTGTTCTCATTTTTGTCCTCTAGAAAAGCATGTTGTACATTTGCAATATTCAGATGGTAACCTCTGGGATGATGGGCAGCTTTGAGTGATGAAAGTGAACTGAAAGGGAAGGGGAGGAAGGTGAAGAATTGCTTGTTTCTAACCTGCTCCAAAATTATCTTTCCCCCTTGTTCATCATATGCTTTGAGAATGTAAAATATTGATAGTTTTTCTAAACCAAGGCATTTGTTGGCAGTGATGATGTATATACATGTGGAGTGTATATGCCATGGGGCTGAGTGATGGTTATAACAGGAGCACTACTCTAGCAGTCCAGATTGGCAAACACCCTGTTGGAATATTCCTCCAGATATTTTGGGGAGGCCTCTATTACAGAAAGGCCAGTTAGCAAGCTTACCCTTATCTACTCTTGTTCAGACACTCCCTTGCCTCTATTCTAATAACCTACCTTCGTCACATGTCTCCAGGGTTGTGTAGGAAGACATACTGGTGCTAATTTTAGTGCCACCTTTCTTTAGAAATGCTTTATAACTTAAGCTCTGTGACTTCTATACATTTTCTTTCTGAAGTCATCTCTTATAGAGTATTACAGGCCATATTAATCATAGGTATATAGGAAAACTTAACTCTGTCAACCTCCAGAAGTTTTCCCACAGCCTTACTCTTCCCATTTCCTCTCATCTCCTCACTGTAATTACAGTCATTGTACATCAAAGCACCCAGTCCAATCTCCATTTCCACAAATAGCCACTCTCCAGTGACAAGGGGTAGCATGCTTTACCTTTAAGCCCTTTGACGCATTTCCTGCCCATTCAGCTACCTCTTTGTGTGTAGGTGTTGTGGTGCCCAGGGACTGGTAACTGGTGATCCTGGACTTCAGGTGTCTGTGAATGTGCCACACCCTACAAGAACCTGACTTTGTCTTGGCATTTCCAGAGTTTTCCTAGTCTTGCTGTCAGCTATCTTGAATTTTGCTGAAACTGAAACAAACAAGAGGAAAAGGGCTAGTCACACTGAAAGACACCAGCCACTTGTCTGCCACACCGTGATTCAAACTCTTGTCTAGATTTTGGCTGATTTTGTTTTGTACCTCTGCAAGACCTTGACTAGAAACCCAACCATTTTTCCATGAATCATTAGAGCTAAGATATGTTTAGTATTATGATCTCTTCTTATTGACACAATTAACCAGGTTTTTGTATAGCTGATTCCTCTTGTTTAAATTGAGAGTGTTAGGTTATTCACATTAATTTTTTTTTAATTTATTTTACGTATTTTGGTTCTGCCTTCTAAGCTGTGTGTATTTTAATTCTCCACAGCCCAGGTACAGTCTCTGAGCTGAAGGATAAGAGATAACGGGCAAAATCAACGTTGGTGTTAATTTCTATCTCCTATCTATGAGTTGGTATTATTTGACAGAACAATTGAAAGACTTTGGCAACAGATTATTTTGGGATTCTGGCAGGACCTTTATTTTGTTCTGTCCTGCATTGCAGAAATTATGTTACTGTTCAGCCTGTTACACACTATGTGAGAACATGAGAACAGACATCTTTATATTTCTGTCTTTTGTCACACAGAAATGTTTGATTTTTTTTTTTTCTGTTGTTGAAAGACAATACATTGCTGGTGCTGCAGAATGAAATAACTCATGCCACCAAAAAAATGAAATTTAAAACCAAAGCTCTTGTAATGCATTTCACATATTATAGGACCCATTTAAACAATGTTACATTACTTATTTTCATATTTTCCTAAATCATCTGAGATAATAGTGAAAGTTCACTGGTATAAATATCTGTGCATGTGAAGAGATTTGATTTTGACTCATAAAATTGAAACACTTCCCTCTTATGGCTACTTAAATTGCCATTCAGAGAAATTTCTTTGAGAAAACATAACTGTGCATATTTCTTTCATCATTATGCAGTTGGCTTGAAGTTTGTTTGTTCAATTCATGCCTTATGTCCTCTGCCTTGAATAACACTTTATTTAAAAAGCTCTTACTCTAAAAACCAGCTGTATGGTGCCATTATCAGTTATTTACTTGTTCTGTGTGATAAAAAGAAGAAATCAAACTGCTGTAAAAACTAAAGAACAGTTTCAATTCACTTTTAATTTCCCATTCTTTGAGAAATAACTATCGGGAGTTTCATTTAGTGTATATTTGTAACGATTTGCTAGTGCTTTAAGGAAAGCCATTTTATTTGGAAGTCACTATTCGGTATCATTTTTTTTTGTGTCTGACATCTGCTTAAGTTTTCTTAAGTTTAAAAATTATCAATCTGTTTTTTAAAAATTATTTTTAGTTTAAAAGAATAACCTAGTGTCAGAAGAAAAGAGATCACAGTAGCTCAAGTGATAAAATCAGATTTTATTCAAAACTATTTCAATAAAGGGAAAAAAGATCTCAGAATGGAGAGCTCAATTTTGATTGCAGCATGAGCAAGTGGAATTTATAAATAAGAAATAGGTTCAAGGAATGTTACTCAGAAGAAACACGCAAGGGTCAATGGGGCTCTGGCCAAGCTCATCTGACCTGTCTTGCTGAGGACAGGCCAGGGGTATCAGATACCACTTAGGGAGTGTGTAGATGGTGTCCTACACAAGGTAAGATATCTGATAGCAAGGATGGGGCACGTCCTCTGTAAAGTCATTTAGCAGGGTTCTTGGTAAAACTAAATTTTAAAAGGAAATATACAAATGGGTCTAGAGGAAGAGTTCAAGAGATTGATAAGTTTAGCTAAGTAAAGAATATCGTCATCAGCCAGAAGGAGCTAGTATTTGAGAGAAGTTTGAGTGTGTTTATTTTAATGAGTAATAAAAGTTTCAATACATTTAAAACTACCTAAATTAACTGCTTTTACCATTCCCTTAAAGAATAATTTTCTACTCAGTGAAAAAGAGATTCCTGTGATAAATGAGCCTATGTCATTGTAGAAAGAAGTTGAAAATAAGGGCCTTGTATTTTTATAGTTAAATGTGCAACCATAATCCCTTCTATTTTTATTTTCAGAGAATTCACAATGGCAGAAATTGAGCACTTTGTAGATCCCAGTGAGAAAGACCACCCCAAGTTTCAGAGTGTGGCAGACCTTCACCTTTATTTGTATTCAGCAAAAGCCCAAGTCAGTGGACAATCTGCTCGGAAAATGCGCCTAGGAGATGCTGTTGAACAGGTAGGAACCCTGAAATAATTGAGGCTATATGTAATCAGGGTTTCTAGCACTTAGCAAATTCTTGCACCAGGTAACAAAATACTTTATTTCGGCAGTCATTTTTTAATACAGTATTTGTCTTACACTATTATTTCAGTGGGGAAAGGTTACCTAATATATGGACTACTGTTAGGGCTAAAGTGCAAAAAATTTCAACAGAACACTTCGCTTGAACTATTTCCCACCAATCTGGCATTGAACTATATATACTACATTAGGGAGAAACTTACAGAAAATTTTTAAATCTCTTCTATATTACCCATAGCAATTGGAATAAGATCTTGCATGACATAGATACATAGATTAATTCTCTAATTGTTTTCTTGAGGAAATGAGTCAGTGAAACTTTCAAACAATAACTGCTGCCTAGCTACTGTAATTTTAAAACTTAACCAATCTGATTTTTTTTTTTTTTAATTATTTTCTCCTGTTACGACCCTGGGAAAGAGTGGGCTTCTTAGCCTTGAAAATATTTAAATCAAGGAGAGGGAATAACTTGTTAGCCATTTTACAGAGAAGACTCCTGGCTCAGGTGGAAGATGGAATTAGATTATTTATAAGATCCTTCTGGAACTAAAATTGTAAGATGACATTAATACTGATTACTGTTCACAGATTTTAGTGAGTAGGAATACATTAAAATCTCCTCAGCACATTTTATTACTTTCATTAAATCAAGAGTATATTTGCCATTCTTAGGAGGGTCATAGAATATCACTTTTCATACTACATATCAGGAAGTTCTGCGCTGCTGGAGTGAATTTTTGGTGACTCAGTGAGTGTTTTCAGCTTGTTATTATCAGTCTGTTCACTTGACATTACCCTCTTTAAATATGACCAGAATCACATTCTGTGTATTTGAGGTTGTTCTGAAGGTTAAGTAAATTATCTTTGTATTTCAAATAGTTTTCAGTAGTTATGAAAACCTCGATGGCAAATGGTACCTTGTCTTGTAAAAGTGTTCATGTGTTTTTTTTCCTTCCACTATGCTTGCTTGTATATTTGCTTGCTTATTTACTTATTTGTTCTTCCATTCATTTTTAGGGTGTGATTAACAACTCAGTATTAGGCTATTTCATTGGCCGCATCTACCTCTACCTCACGAAGGTTGGAGTATCTCCAGAAAAACTCCGCTTCCGACAGCACATGGAGAATGAGATGGCCCATTATGCCTGTGACTGTTGGGACGCTGAATCTAAGACATCCTATGTAAGTAGAACAAGATGGACTTTGCTATGTGGTCTTCACATTGTTAACTGGGAAGGATTGATAACGTGTTTTGTGTGGTTTATGTCAGGAGCAAATGAGAGATTTTTTTTGGGCAAAACAGAAAAGAAGCTACTCCCTGCTCTCGTTATAAGGAGGGGAGCTACTCTTGTGTCCCTGGAGTGCTTTTTAGATGTAGGTGACTTTTTCAGAGCATGTGAGAAGCCGATGATGGGACAGTACTATAGGTAATATCTTGGAGTGCAGCTGAAATGGAGTAGCTTCTTTCCACGCAAGGACCTGGCAAATACTGGAAATGGAGTTGGGGTTGAAGGTTAAGCCATAGTGCTAAGCATAGACAGAGTTTTGGGGTAGATTTTGGGAGATAGCCTAGTGATTTTTATTTTTCAGTTAGGAGCCATCTTTTCTCAAACTCTGTGATTTAAAACAGTTTAGATAAGACCCCAAGATACTGCTCTACTGTATCTCCCAACCCTCCTACCTCCTTCCCACAAACATGAAAGTTAGGAGTGAAGCCTAACATGGAAAGGCATTTGGAGAGAGGAGATGTTTTCTGCATTGCTGGCAGTGGGAGTACAATGGATCCTACACATGGAACAGAGAGCCTCTGGCATTGCTTTTATTGGGTGCTGAAGGGGCGCCTCTCCAATTGAGACTTTAGCCTGTTGGTTCTCAGGTGCCCTTGGTTTTACTTGTAAAGTGACTTTCTCTTAATAGCCAGGCGGCCTGAGTTCAGTCCTTGGGAGCTGACCCTCATGGCGCAGCAGACCCCTCTTGTCTCTCGCACTGCTTCCCTCAACAGTGTATTTCAGTAGATCTGTTTGTTCTACTCCCCACCCTGTATCTGGTGAATCCTCTCACATGGCCCCCCGATACATACTCTGCACCCCAGTTCTTCTACACAAAAAAATAAATAAATCTTTAAAGAAATAAATAAGTAAAGATTAGTCATTTAAACAGACTTCTTTTTTGTAAAGCCGAAAGCAAAAGATAATTCTGAAGAATGTTCTATATATCGAAAGTGCAACTTTACTTTCATACCTCGCCCCAGGAGATGGCATATATACCCAAATGGCATATATTTCCTGTTAAGGGCCAAATAGTAAATCGTTTGCCAGTGGCTTGTCTTGTTTGTTGGTGGTGCTGGATTTGTACAACCCTTTAAAAATACAGTAGCAGGTTAAAGCTCAGCAATAAGAAGCTAAAGCCACCTCAGCATGAGTTTGATCCCTGCCCTGGAGGTGATCCGCATGGTGCTGCAGACCTCTCCTGACCCGCATGGTGCTGCAGACCTCTCCTGACCCGCCCGCTGCTCCCCTCAGCAGTGTACTTGGTCAGTTGGCCTGTTCTGCGCCGTACTCTGTCTCTGGTGAATCTTCTCACTGCCTTTGAGCGTCTGGCCTATACCCCGGTTTTGTATGCATAAATAAATAAATCTTTAAAAAAAATGCAGTAGCATCTCTTGACTTGGTTTGTTAGTACTTGTTCTGAATGATTTTTTATGTATTGCAGATACATGCATGATGATGTATGTACATAGTCTGAGTCTACAGTTGCTGTTCCTGATGTTGTCTTTAATATTTTTTTTTCCTGTGTGAAGTAGGAAAGAATTAGTGCAATCTGTTTAGTTTTTCTTGTTAATTTTTCTTACAGCCATGCTTAATATATGCCACAATGGTGGTAATTATTTTTGGATATAATGGGTATTGATTTCTTTACCCTTCGGTTTTTCTGGAATTTGTTTTTATTTTCAAATTGAAATACTAAAATATTTTCCATTGGTGTGAAAAAAGATGGTTTCTTTTCACTTTGTTTCTCACCATTTTCCTTGCTTAATTTGCTCTGATCTTAATTTCAGGTTAATCATGCAAAGAATTTTGCTGTCTCAATTTAAATTCTAAATGTGGGGCAAATTGCTTTTCACTTATTTGTTCATTTAACATTTTAATTGTTAAGGACAAGATTTCTTTCTACATGCCTCATATGTATTTTTTTCTGTAATCCTCATAATAATCCTATTCATAGATACTATTTCTGAGAGAACTAGAATTCTGAAAAGTTAATTTGCTTGAATCTCACTAGTGAGTGTGCTAGTGGTAGGGCTCGAATATGGATCTGGGCTGCAAGATCCCCAAGCCCATGCTCTTAACCATTGTGCTGTGTTCCTTCACCTGAGTATTACTGTGAGCTATGGCCTAACCCAAAGATTTGGGGATCAGAAAATATGGGGCTCCATTGAGATTTTGATGTGTTTTATGCAAGGTCACTGGAAGACAAAACTAAACAGTATCATAAGCTCCAAAGTGACAGACTTATTAAGGAGAAAAGAAAACTCCTTTAAAGGCTTTGATGCTTTTTTTCTGTGTGCCTCATATTTTTTAACTAAAATAAAATTACTGATACAGCTGATATTCCCACTATTCCTCTCCATGCTGAGATGTAACTGCTACCCAAAAGTTGTGTATCATTTTCAGGCATGTTTTTGTGACTTAAATTCTTAGTACCTAAATGTTAGTTGAGATCTTTAATAAATAATAACCATCAAGTTAACCACCATTATGTTTAAGAACATAAATACACTAGCTGACATTCTCAGTGAATGGCAGTTAATCAAGTTATATTTTTTTAAGAACTTGTTCTTTTGTTTTAATTCCTTTGTTGTACATGTTGGAGTTACTGAATTTGTAAGGTTATATTTACCCTCTTTAAAAAGCTGTAAAAAAAAAAAACTGTGATAGTTGAATTTTCCTAAGTTCTTTGGATCAGAACAAAAAAACAAATATTCATGAGAAGGACTCACTGGGTATCCACTAATTCTTTTACCTTCTTTGTTCTCTTTCAAAAAGCAGATTTTAAAATGTCTTTGAGAAGAACAAATTTTGCTTTTGAGAAGTGTCTTGGATATTAAAAAGAAACTAGCCCCATAGTCATAGCAGTGTTGTTATTTTTATTTTGTAACCTAAAGATTTTGTGCTCTCTATTAAGTGTTCTTTTGTTGGAAAACTAAATTGTGCACAAATGCTCATTTTCATGGCCAACCGCAGCTAATGCCAAGTTGTGAGAGCAGTAGACGCTTCATCCACAGACTAGTTATTTTGCTGGAATCATTTTGAATCCTGTTCACCATTTTGAAGTGTTTACCAATTTTGTCTAGGTTCACATTATATTTCCATAATTAAGCCCTAAACCATATTAGTTAACACACATAGTTAACATTACAGCAAAATAAATCTGCCAAAAAAACAAAACTACTTTGTGACCATGTGTGAATTATATATTATAATATTGTTAGCTTCTTGATGTAGTAAAGTACATTTTTTCCCACAAACATTTATAAAATTTGAGAGGAAATCCTCGAGTCTGTGAACGGGTTATTGTCTGAGTGCATTTGTGAATGGATCCAATGTAAGTAGTAGATGTTTTCTTATGTCTTCTTAGGGCTGGATTGAAATTGTTGGATGTGCTGATCGTTCCTGTTATGACCTCTCTTGTCATGCACGAGCCACCAAAGTTCCACTTGTAGCTGAGAAACCTCTGAAAGAACCTATATCCTTTTTGGTCGCTCTCCAAACTGGAACTAAAGTATAAACAGCTGTTCTATGGATAAATTGCAGTGTTTTGAATATTGTGGTAACATTTGTTAAAATGTATTATTTTGCCTAGTTCATTGGTCCTTTTATATTCTCTTTACTTGTAATCTAATAGTACTTGCTCAGTATTTGGTCCTTGAAATAATTACACTAAGAAAAATGTTTTGAATGATTATCTGTTGAGCAGGTTTTTTTGTTTTTGTCTTTTTGGGTTTTTTTTTTTAGCCATTTCCTAAGTGCATTTCTCCATACTAGTATGTATTTACATGCTCTTTAAATAAAAAGTACATATTTGTTGAACACTTTCTCAATTAAAAGATGAATGTCATTTTATGGTAGATAGAATAATAGTTTTGCTCACTTGATTTTTAAGTCAGAAAACAGAAATTTTCTTACTTTGCTGGCAGTGAGGTGAGCTGACAGGGCTGGCCAGCAGCAGGGCCTAGATCCTGCTGTTGGGGTATGAGTAAATTGTCAGAGATTATATGGTAGGTTGGGTTACATTGCTGCTTAGATAATATTTTATCTCACTTTGGAAAAGAATCTCTGTTGCTGGTGTTTATTTATTTTGAGTGAGATTTATCGTAATTTTGTGGACAGTTCTTCCATCTTGCACTTAAAATCAGCATAAACAGAGTCTAGGGTAACAGTAGAACAGAGAACTAGTAGCTGTTTTTAAGTTGATGACTGATCCTTTTTTTTTTTTTAATGACTGATCATTTTTAAGATCATTTTCTGACATATTAATGCAGTTTTCAATTTTGGATTCCTTAACTCCTTCATACAAAACAGTCAATGTTGTTCAGTTTGAACCCAATAAGGGAGGAATTGGTAAGGCATATAAGAAGGATGCAAAGCTGGTGATGGAATACCTTGCTATTTGTGATGAGTGTTATATTACAGAAATGGAGAAACTACTGAATGAAAAAGGGTAAGATAAAAAGATGTGTATTTTTAGATGGGTTCTTGTATTTTTAGATGGGATATGTCAGCTTCTGCAAGTTAGAGTGACTTTAATGTCTTTAGGAATTTTTTGGCAGGTAAGTACTTCTCTTAGCTACATTTAAAGATGGTTGTTTGCTGAGATTTTCACATTACAACCTAGAAATAGATTTGAAATGGGTTCAAAGATTAATGTTTTCTCTAATAATTTTCTTAGAGAAGAGACTTGTCCATGATAATGACTGAAGTAGGATTAGCGGACATACCTATCTTTCAAGAGTTATTTTTTGAGCTTTGAAATGAGCACCCTAATTGTTTTAAGCATAAATACAGAGGAAAGTCTTTTAAAAAGAATAAGACAAAATCAGTACTAAGTAATGTAAACTTTATGATGTCTGGGAAACAATTAAAAAAACCCCAAAACTGAAAAATAACTAGTTGTATGAAAAGTAGGACCATGTGATCTGTAATGAGAAAAATAAGTCAAAATTAGCATTCAAAAAAGACAAACATGATGGAATAAATACATAGGGTGTTGGAACAAGCTAAATATGTTGCAGATGCTCAAGAATATAAAGGAAATCATGTACATATGAAGTGAGAAATGTGGTTACATCTCACAATGGAGCAGAAAAGAGTGGAATGTTAGATGTATCAGTAAAAAGCCTTAGGCAACATCTGGAGGCAATATCTGAAATGAAAACATCTCTGGATGGGATTACTAGTAGGTTAAACATTGAAGAAGGAAGGTCATTGAGGTTAAAGATAGCAACAGAAATTATTTCAGATGAAGCATAGAAAAAAGAGAAATAGAAAATAAAAGGTGGCCTATGGGAGAGTGTAAAGCAACCTAGTATATATGAAGGCACATACAATAATTGAAACTTTTACAAATTTGATGCAAACTATAAATTTACTGATTTGAGAAGGTAAGCATAATAAGCAGAATAAACACAAAGCACATCTGAATAAAATTGCTGGAAACCCATAATTAACAGAAATATCTTTGAAGGGGCCGGGGGGGAAAGACTCATTACATAAAACAGGGAAAATAATAAGAATGATTCGAATTCTTGTCAAGAGCTGTACAAACCACAATGCTGTGGAATGAAATCCCTTAAAGCACAGACAGAGATCCAGAAGAAATGTCTCCAAATTGAGATATATCAAGAAATATCTCCAAAATGAATTTTCAAACGAAAATTCAAGGAAATACATTGCCAGTAGACCGATATTAAAAGAAATGTTAAAGTATGTTCTTCAGATGGGTGTATGGAAATTTAGCTCTACACCAAAAATTAAGAGCTCTAAAGTTTATAAATAAGTAGATGAATATATTGACCTTTTAATTCTTTTAAAGATAATGGGCTGCTTATAGCAAAAAATATTAATGTATTATAAAAATGTATATTGTCAGTAATTCAAAGGATGACAGTAAATAAGTAGAGGTATACTGTGTTATAAGGTAAAAACAATATATGTGAAGTGCAATAATATTTGACTGTAGGCTGTGATTAATTTAAAAAAATGTAACAAGCACTAAAGCAATTACGTGGAAGACACAAAGAGCTATAACTAATAAATCAATAACGGAGATAAAAGAGAATATTACCTCAGAAGACAGAGAGGAAAAATGAACAAAGAACTGATGGAAGCAATAGAAAAATAAGTGAGGTCATAGGTTTAAACTTGATAATGTCGACAGTTACATTAAGTATAATGATCTGAATACTTGAATTAATATCTATTCACTTAAAAAAATAAAGCTCCAATTAAATGCTATTTATGGGAATACCACTAGTAACAGAAATGGGCTTAAAAATGAAAGAAAATAAAATTTCCCATACATACATTGATCAAAAAGTTGCAGTGACTGTGTTTAATACCAGGGAAAGTAAACTTTAGAATAAGGGAAATTACCAAGGACTAAATTGCATTTCATAATGATAAAAGAATCATTTCATTAGGAAGGCATATCACTCCAAATTGTGTATGCAGCTAAAAACAGAATTGCATATAAAGCAAGCTTGACAGAACTGAAAAGAAAATTAGAGAAATCTACAATTATAGTTGATTTCTATGCCCCTGTCACAGTAATTGGAGAGGCAGTACACAAAAAAGTCAATAGGAATTTGAAGGCATAAACACTATTCATCAACTTCATTTCCATTTATAAATACCTAATAGCTAGAACACATTTAAAAAAAAAAAAAGATTATTCGTACAGAACTGGGGTACAGGCCAGAGATGCAGAGGGTGAGAGGATTCACCAGACACAGAGTGGGGAGCAGAACAGGCAGATTGACGAAGTACACTGCTGAGGGGAGCAGTGGGCTGGTCAGGAGAGGGCTGCCCTGCCATGTGGATCTCCTTAGGGCAGGCGGGGATCGAACTCATGCAGAAGTGGCTTAAGCTCTTTGTGCTGTGCTTTAACCTGCTGCGCCACCAGAGAGGGCCTAGAACACACATTTTTAAAGTGCATCTGAGACATCTTTCATACTGTGTTTTGCACAGCCTTTTACCTAAGTCTGAGTCTTGCATTTTTTTCAAAGGGTAGTTTGAAAGAACCATATGAAGGACTCTATATGGCCTGCGAAGACTGAAATTTTCCATATCTAACCTTTGTAGAAGAAGTTTGCCAGTGTGTCATAGACATCAGACTAAACAGAAGTCTTAGACAAGAGGTTATGTACGATTATATGTGAAACTGCAGGAAATGCATCCATGTATAGTGATGGAAAGTGGTTGACTGGGAGTGGAGAGGATTGAGAAGAAAAGGGATTCAAGGGCAATTTGGTGTGATGATGGTTGCAGGTATATCATAAGATGAGCTTTTATCAAATGAAGATACAACTGTATATTTTGGTATAAAAATTTTATATGTTTCTGTTTTCCCAGAACAATATCACCTATTTTTGCTAAAATGGAATATTCCATTTAAATGTAACCAATCTAGTGATATCATTAACCACACACACCATTTTCCTTGATTATTCTCAGTAACTATTCTTGCTCATTTCAGCTTTTTTAAAATAATTGGTCTATACTTAGGCTGTGCTCACGGAAAGAATGTATAATACTGTTTAAATGAATAATGTAATCTTTAATGCACACAGAAAAACTTCAGACAATAAAAAAAACAGGAAATAATGGAAACATTCTTAGGATGCATGAGATCGTCACTTTAGACACTAGCGAAACACAGTGTGAAAGTGCCTGCTACAGCTGCTTCAAAGACAACCACATGAGGGCTCTCTTTGCCCAACACTGAGCTGCTTTATGAGCTCAGGGAAATTAACATGATCTTCATTATATGAGAAAATGCCTCAAAAGCTGAAATACAGGTATTAATGAAACGCTTTATATAGGTGAACTATTAAAACCTGCAATAAAATAGGCATATGTCAGAATATAAAGATATTGTAGCCATTGCTTTTTGGGGAATGGAATATTTTATTTTGGCATATCAGCCAGTCATTAAACTTCCTTTAAGCTGATCTTCATCAATGTGTCAGTTTATTTTGGAAATACTGTAGGAGTTGTAAATACATTCTCTAAGGTGACAAAGTAATCATCTTTACACAGTCCTGTTTCTGGAAAATTTATTATTATTTAAAACATTGTTTTTGGTTTTTCTTGGTCTCAAAACCAAAGAAATTAGGCATTAAGTTACTTGTGAAATTTAATAAAAGTAATGACATTTTTGCATGCCCCCCAGAAGAGTTTGGTACCGTTTTTAAAATAATGATTTGTGGGCCTTCTGGTGGTGCAGGAGTTAAAGTCTCTGCACTCTCAAGCTGTCACTAGTCACTGTAGCATGAGTTAGATCCCTGGCCAAGGAGTTGACCCACATGGCACAGCAGATCTCTCCTTCTTACCTACCTCTTCCCTTAGCAGTGTATTTCATGTTCTGCTCCCCAGTCTGTGTCTGGTGAATCCTCTCACACACAACCCCCCACGCTCCACATCTCCAGCCTACACCGCAGTTCATGTATGTATAAGTTAAAAAAAAAAAATCTTAAAAAAATAATTGGTTATTCCTTATAAAATAATTTGACTTTGGTTATTTGCAGTTGACCAAATTGTATTATAATTAAAAATGAAAGACAGTTTAGCAACCTGTAAACTCCTTGAAATGAAGTATAAAAATGCATGTTTTAGCTAATATATAATATGTTCTGTTTCTTTGTAGGGAATTCACTATTGAAACTGAAGGGAAAACATTTCAGTTAACAAAAAACATGGTCAGTGTGAAGCGATTCCAGAAAACACTATATGGTAAATTGTAAAAAATAATTTAAGAAACCAGCAGTGTATACAGTATAATTACTACTTCTTAAAGTGATTACTTTTTTTTTTTAAGTTTTATAATATAACTATTTTACAGAAATGGAAGAGGAAAAAGTAAATTCCTAATACTGCATTCTGAAATTGATGAATATGTTTCAGGCATTATCTTGGGTCTTCATTTTTTTTTTCTTTCCTTTTCAGAATGTATAAATCTTTTGCCTTTTACTTTTAAAAAAAATGTAATTGTACTCATTCTTGATATTAATATATAAGGACACCTTTATATTTCCTGAGACCTAAAAAATAATGAAAATTATTTCTTTGATTAAAAGCATCATTGTTTACACAAGGGGGAGTCCATTTTTTTCTTAAAGAAAATAAGAAACTCACCTCTCCCTTTTCCCTCCAAAATAGTTTAAGACATTTAGATTGTGACTTTTATTGTTTTTGTTTTCTGTTTTTATAAAAAACAAAGAGATGCTTACTTGTAGAGTAGATTTACGAATTGGGAAATGAGTAATTTGGAGCTTTTATGATGGGTGCTTATGATTAATTATGACTGAATTGCAATTGATAGAAACAGACTAGTGTTTGAGAAGTTCCTGCGAGTAGAGATGGCAGATCTACTTTTCTATATGTTTTTGGCCTTATTTTAGCCATGCTTCAGTGGACAGTGAAAGCATTCTGGACATTGATAGCAATAGCACCGGGCCCTTCTTCATACTTTGAAGCTTTTCAGCCCACCCTAGTACGTGGCTCAGAGTTACATTTCATCATTGCTTGAATGCTATGGAAGGGTGGGCAGATTTTACCTTATAATCATGTTTCTAAAATACTCTTTTTAGAAAAGATGATATTACCTATTTTTGCTAAAACATAAGCAGACAAAAGAAATAGCCTCTTTTTCTCATATGTGAATTTTGGGTTTTAGTTATTTTATTTCCCTTGAAGCGAAAAATCTACATAGTTAGGATCTGATACCATAGACTGCCTTCTGGAATACTTAATGAATCCATGTCCTATGTGTATTACAGCCTCACTCGTGGGAAGGCTGATCCTGGGCAGACTTTCCTCTAAAGACCCCCTGATCCAAAATGTTAGAAACACATCCACCTGCAATAATTTGAGTCTATTTTTAAAGTGTCTCAACAAGATAGCAAGAGAAAAAGTAAAACAAACAATCCATGTGATAGTTGTTGCATGAAGGAATTGTGTTTGTTAATTTTGCGAGCCATGGTGGCAGTTTTTAATTCTAGCAGTTTTATTAAAGGTCTATAGTTTTCTTCCTTTCTGGATAGGCAACACAGATGTCTTTGGAGTCTAGCTGCTGTTGCTTGTAGCTTACTAACGAGGGAAGACAAACCTTTGTTCCTTGTTTCATTTTTATACTATAGAAACAAAGAATTAAATTGGTGGATTTTTTATCATCCCAATTTCCTCTTTAAAATGGCTCAGCCCTACTAGCAGATAGTTTTCGGGTATCTCTGACCTCTTTCCCTGATGTACAGGATGGTTCAAAGTCCATCTGAAGTGGAGATATTTTTAGAGGCTGATGAATTGTTAGGATCTAAAATTTGCCTCATTGGAAATTGAGAGAATGTAACTGAACTTCTGTCTCTCTTTCAGTGGAAGAAGTTGTTCCAAATGTAATTGAGCCCTCCTTTGGCCTGGGCAGGATCATGTATACAGTATTTGAACATACATTCCATGTACGCGAGGGAGATGAACAGAGAACTGTAAGTTGTCCTGTACCAGATGCTTATCCTCTTAACAATTTCATAGAATAGAAGTTACTGCAGTGCAATAATGTCTTTGGGAGCATCAATTAATAATTTACTACAGTGTGCTAGTGAGGTTAACACTCACCTTTGTGTAATTGTTTACAAAGTAAAACACTTGTCTCAGGATTATAGGTCATTCTAGATATACTTATTTTAGTTTCCCTAGAAACTAATGAGACAGAGTGTATTACTTTGAGGCAACTCTATATTGCCTCAATAGAAAGAATAATATTCCCTAGATATAGTCATGTTTGCAGAAAATTGGGAAGGAGGAGATGGCTCCTGGAATTTGACCAAACCTAAAAACTGTGTCTTTACACTGGTAAAACATCACAAGGAACCTTCTCAAAGTGTGTAAAATAGTCTGCAGTACTTTTGGGATAAGATTTACATTCCAGAGGTTCTGTTCCAGAGGTACTTATTTACTAGGTGTAAGATGCAAGGTCTGTGTTTCTTTTTTTTTTTTTTTTTAAGATTTATTTTATTTATTTCTGCATACAGAACTGGGTACAGGCCAGAGGTGAAGGGGCGGCAAGAGGCTTCACCAGAGACAGAGTGGGGAGCAGAACAGGCAAATCGACGAAGTACACTGCTGAGGGGAGCAGCGGGCGGGTCAGGAGAGATCTGCCACGCCATGTGGTCACCTCCGGGGGAAGGCGGGAATCGAACTCATGCGGAAGTGGCTTTAGCTTCTTAGTGCTGTGCTTTAACCTGCTGCGCCACCAGGGAGGGCCAGATCTGTGTTTCTTATAAGAACTGTAGGTGATTCTGATACGATTGATCATTAATTGGGCATTAGCTTTTCCTCTGTTCATGACTATTGGAAGGTAGAAGTCTTCCATCAACTTCCTCAAGTTTTCTTTTGACTCTGATGCTTCTGAATCACTGTTCCATGCCTTATACTTTATACTCTTAGTCTGTCTTTTTGCCTTTTTCAGTTTGGCTCTGCCTGCAAAAATTATACTCAGTTAATATCTAGGCACATATTTCCAGGAAAATTAATCCTGAGAATGACTAGAAAGGAGAGGTTCCTAGATAGCAAAATAATCGAAACAATTCCATCTATACCCCCATTGACAGCTTAGTCAGTTCCTGGTGCTGGGCATCAGCATTGTAATACTTCTTGAGATGTTAAGTTTGAAGAATGGGTGAATTAACTCTTTCTTCCAAGGTTTTTAGAACTCTGACATACTATTGGTAATAAGTGTGTGATAAAGTTACTATTGTCATCTCTGCCCTGAAGTTGCATCTTTGTGTTCTGAGATTTAAGTAACTCTTCACTCAACAGGAATAAGGACCTGGGCCTCAGAAAAGATGCCATGTATTTCTGAATGTGTTCTTTTTAGGTGTATCAAGCTTTTCCTGCTTGTTTTTCCTATAAAAGAAGTTTTTAAAGTAATCTATTGGCTATTACTTTGAATCTAGCAATTTGGTGGGACTAGAGTTTTAATAGAAAAATTTTGTAAGGACTAAGAAAAAATAAGGTAGTAATGGTGTTTATGAGTTATATAGAGATTCCTGTCAAAGAGAAATTTGATTAGTCTGTTGAAAACCAAAAATGTTTCTAAATTAATAGCACATAGTCCCATAGCTTGTTTTCCTCTAAATTTTATAGGAAAACATTACTGGTGAGGTAAAAAAAGATTATTTTGCTATAAAGGCAGGCCCTTGCTTCTTTCTCATATATATGGGATTATCACAAGGTAGAAGCAGGGAGGAGATCTCTGAATGCTCTACCCCTCTGGCAGCCAAACTGATGGAATCTGGGGTTTACTTACCAGTGGGGTATTCTCTGTTGCTCTGGCACTTAATTACGTTAATTAAGACTGAGGAGTTCAACTTGAACCTGTGTTACCATTTTTGAGGAAGTCCTCTTCATTCTGAATTGCATTTTCTATCCTGAAAGTGGATTTTTTGTAACAGTATTACTTAAGAACTCCCTTCAGCTCTCTTTTTCAAGCCCAAATGGTAGGATAGTTTGCATTCCACAGACTGTGTATTTGTCCTCCTTTATTTCTCAGTAGCTCTGGAAACTGTTTCAAAAGCTGTTTTCAGGTATTTTGTTTTGTGCTATTGCTTATATCAGCTAATTGAAAGGTTTCTGTTTACCTGGTCACTGAAGTTCACAGATCCTTTTGCTATGCCAAGTCTTAAAGATTAGAATAGGATCCTGTATTTTGGGACTTCCATATATTATTTGATGATGTAGTGGGGAAGGTTCTTTTGGGGGTCTTCAATGTAAGAAGGTTTTTATGTGGTACCAGGATATTGCCATTTTATATGGTTATTTTCAGGTGTTTTTACACTACTTGAGCTATTTGTAAGTAAGCAGAACACATGGAAGAGAATACTCTTTAGATAGAGAAACTTAAGACCTAGAGAGAGAGTTCATTCACTCAGGTGATCTGTGTTTGGAGCTGAAAACAGGCTCTTACTGATTCTTCTACTGGTTATCCTACTTTTACTCTTTTTCCACTTTACTTTTCATATCATGTTTTGTGGTATTTTGATAGTGAACTGTGAACATGAACATTTAGATCTTCATAAACTGACTTTTGGACTTCTATCTTTTTAAATTATCTAGTTCTTCAGTTTCCCGGCAGTAGTAGCTCCATTCAAATGCTCTGTCCTTCCACTGAGCCAAAATCAGGAGTTCGTGCCATTTGTCAAGGAATTATGTAAGTAAATCCAATTGTGTAATCTCCATGGGAACACCATCAAGTAGACTGAATTTTAGGAAATGTATTGTTTTTTTTTTTTTCAGTGAAATTACTTAGTAACTAAAGAATAAATCGAAGTTGCTTTAGCCTCTGTTCTTATGTCTAAGAGAGGGTTTTACTTGCTCCGGATGTTTCCTCCTGGCATTTCCAGGAGTTAAGGTAGCACCTGCGTCAGAGTTAAGTGGTCCTTGCATCTTCTGTTAACTTCATCAGGGGCATGCTTTGTGGGGTTTAGGAATCCTAGGGAATGTGCATCCACTGGACCCACAGCCTGAAAGGGATCCGATGAGTCAACACCCACATGTTTTGGTGTTGGGAAATGGGAAGAGTCTGCTGAGCTGCCTAGGGTCATGCAAGTAGGGATGGTAAAGTCAGGACGAGCCTCCTGGCCTCGCCGAGATGTGTTCCCCTACAGCTGAGTTGGATGTAGGTACGAGAAGGGCTTGGGCTCCAGCCAGTGACTGGTTACACTTTCAGGATTTTTCTTTCTCTTGCAACCGTAGCTTAATGTTATCTTCTTCCTGTCTTTAAGTTTTGTGAACTTACAGGGTCACATAAAGATAACACTGGAATTCTCCATTATTTTGTTTTTGATATCCTTAATTTATTTTGGGCAGCGGAAGCCCTAACCAGGAATGGAGTCTCTTTCAAAGTAGACGATTCCTCCGGATCTATTGGAAGACGCTACGCCCGGACTGATGAGATCGGTGTGGCTTTTGGGATCACCGTTGACTTCGATACCGTAAACAAGACCCCTCACACTGCAACTCTGCGGGACCGAGACTCCATGAGACAGATCAGAGCAGAGGTGGCTGGCCTACTCTTCTTCATCTTTAGCTTTAGAAATTTGATTGGTTCCTTGATTTGAGCTGGATTGATTTTTATGTATTTATGCAACATTCCTTTTTTCTTTTTAATTTTAATCATAGGCTTGTATCAGACAGCACAGATTCTCAAATCCCCTTTGTTAATTCTGAAAATACCCACTAACACATCTCTAATATTTTATAGCCATTTGGATCACTCTGGGCTCGTTCTTTTGCTTTTATAGTTGCTTGTTTATTTGAGCAAGAGAAAGATGATCCCAAGTGGTTGTTGCCATAGTTTCTAGAGACAGTCTCTGGGGGAGCTTAGACATTTTTGTCTTTATATACTTCTATATAAATATGTGTAAACTTTTCCAAATTAATTCATTCAAAGCAGTGAATGTTTCAGTAATTTTGCCTAATGGGAAGGGAGTAATGGAGATAGGAAGGGGCAGTAGGCAGGATGGTGAGGGAGAAGAAAGAGTGGCCACTTGAATTGACAAGCACTGAGTAACGTACTAACTTGGCATGAGTTTATATTGAGAGTGTTAATTATGTAGCTTGACACAGAGAGTAGTAGGGACAACAGAAGTAAATACTGCCTTTTTCCCCAAGAAGTTAATCTAATTAAGAAGTCATAGATTTCTTGCTGGTTTTGATACAGAACCAGATCTGGCCACGCCTACCCAGCTGTACTTAACCTCCATTCTCATCTGGCAGTGGTGCTCCGGGTGTGGCCCCGGCCCAGCAGTGTCTGCATCACCCGGGAACTTGTACAACTGCTTATTCTGCCTCACTGAGCCAGGAGCTGAGGGCGGTGGTGGTTAGGGAGCTGACAGGGAGAGATGTGGGGCAGAAGTTTTGAGAAGACCTCTGGACAAGGTATTTAAGGTTGACAACTCAGGCTCTGCAGCAGCCACTGTTGGGTTCTGGCTACAGAACAACTGGCCCCTTGGGGTGTTACAGCTTGCCAGTTCCCCCTCACTCTCTTCACTCATGTTACTTATTGACCCCTTTCTAAGTAATAAATCAGTACACCATGAAAATATTTCAAGTGACAACAGAACGTCAGAATAAGTAGAAGAGGCTTTATTGGAGAATTGAGCCATTTAAGGTGAAGGGGACTGGCAGCTGGGCTAGAGGAAGAGCATGAACCCAGACCTGGGAGGGAAGTGAGTAGAGTCACTTTGAGGCTTCAGCGGGAGTGACATGAAACATCCTGCGGGGACCAGTTTGTAGAAGGATCCCGTCATTACCCAGAACTGAAAGATTTGCTGATTTCTCTGCCTGTCTAATCTAACCTAGTCGGTTGATTCTTGGACTTCTCTTTTCTCTTACCCCAGGTCTCTGAACTGCCCAGCCTAGTCCGAGATCTAGCCAACGGCAGCATCACATGGGCTGATGTGGAAGCCAGATATCCTCTCTTTGAAGGACAAGAGACTGGTAAAAAGGAGACAGTTGAGGAATGAAGACAGTTTTGGTGACTTTTGACCACTTGGCTAATAAATAGCTCTTACCGTATCCATTTTAGGAACAAACGACATTGTGATTGCTCCCAGGGACTTCCTTTTATCCTCAGTGGCTGCCTGATCTCACTCCCGCAATTAAAGTCGAAGGAATTCTGAACACTTTTGTAATCCATTTGCTTATGATGCTTATGTTTCCTGTTTTCAGCAAAATTGTTTCTTCTACCTTTTGGAAAATATGCTATGGCTTAACATTACACACAATACATGAATCAACAGCTTTATTGGGGTACATTTTACATGTCATTATATTCATCCATTTTCAGTGTCCTTACGATGCAGTGATGTTTAGTATTTTTACAGAATTGTCCAGCTACCCCCACAATCCAGTTTTAGAATATTTCCAGCACACCAAAGAGAAATTTCATTTGCATTAGCATCATTCCCCAGCCCAACCCCAGCCTCAAGCAATCTCTTAGCTACTTTCTGTCTCTCTAGATTTGTCTTTACTGTTCTTTTTCTGAGAAAGCAGTGAATTATGCTGAAGAGACAGCAGTTTCTAGGCAAGTGGAAAGGCATCCGGGGAAAGGTGAATGGGGGCGGGGTGGCAGGAGCAGTGGAGGAGGAGACCAGTTGTGCTGGTGTGGAGGTTACAGGCAGCTCGCCCTGATGTTCTACTGACGAGCGTCTGTCTGCAGAGTTTCTAGGAGGGGCTACAGTGGTAGAGCCCTCTATTTTAGGGTGTGTTGGTACTTGACTTCCTAAGTAGTCCTGAAATCATTGATTCCTGATGCTAGAGGCTAGGCCCATCTCTGACTTGGCAGTATTCAACCATCACAGTGTCTTGATCCTAGCCTACTGGTTTTGGACTCAGCTTCTGAAGGATGTTATTTTTATTATACCTTTATGTGTAGCACTCAATGCATGTGTTTATGTCTTAGGAAAAAGCAAAGATGGGGAGTTTGATCTTTTTTTTTTTTTGCAGTAAAGACCTTGTCTCGTGTTCCAACTTCCTCAAATAGTATAGGAAGGGGTGATCACCAGAATGTTTTCCCTTGTCTTGGGTTTGAAGAGCAGCTGATAGTCACTTCCTCCCACATTATCTCATTTGATCTCTTTCCACAGTAACTGTGCAGAGTAGGTACGCAATTAATAGTCTTTGGATAAGTCCTGAATTTTTGAATAAGCCTTTTGGGAAAGAAAGTCTTCTACTAAAGCTTATTTCTCTTCTGCCTGATACTTTATGAAGCATTCAATATTAAGTTATAAAGGACTATACTGTAAATAAATTGACCTTTCAATTTCTAGGAATTTCTTTTACTTCAGATTCCACATTTCAATACAGCTTTTGGGGTATATTCTAGCCTTCTCACAGGGAAGGAGGTGTCTTTTTCTTCCCATCTGTTTACTTCATTCTGTGGCACTTAGCTCCATAGTCAAACAGGCAGCATCACCAGACATTGTTAACAGCTTATTAATAGCAAAAGACATTAAAGAAGTAGTGGAATTCACCTGTGTTGGCTCATAAAGGGATTGGACCCTAAGCCCTTTTCACTATTCATTGGCAAATATAGTTGTCAAGACTTAGATGTTGGATATTATTTCTGCAAATCTTCCCATTTGCTTTCCTTTCCCTTTAGGTACAATGTACAGTTTCTCTTGAGAGAACACCCACTGTCTCTAGTGATGGATTACCTGAGTAGGGAATATGGAAGTAACAGAGCTTTCTTTGTACTGTTTGTACCATATGTTTGATTTCTAAACACAAGCAGGTAAAGGACTGTTTTCTGAACAAAAAACCTCTTTACAAATGAGAATTGTGTGTGCGCGTACACATAGACAACCACACACACAGATCCCTCTTTTCAAGCCCAGTAGGTATTTAAAGCCAGGATCGTCTGCCTTTGTAGTATCGCACTGGGCTAGCTAAACAAGAACTGGATGAGGAGCACTGTTTCTCAGAGAAGAATTCCTGTTGCCCATTCATCCCAAAAATCATAATGGGGGAGATCCATGGAATGTCTATAAAATACAGCTGAGTCTTGAAATGGAGCAGGTTAGAATCAAGGGCATTCCATTAAGTACTGCAAGGAATTATGTCTGCTGAGGTGTCTGTGTTTTCTGCAGGAGTCCAAACCTTAATGTAGTTTAACAACTGATAATAGTAAAATAGTGAATATAGGTGGATATTCCATCTAGTGGAATTAATTGCCAAGCCATACAAATATAGACATGATCTTGCTAATTGTATGTGGTGGTACTAAATATGTCAGAAGTCAAAGATCTTTGTGACAGAACACGAGATTATTTTATTCAATAAACAGCTTGAAGATAGATTCACTAGACCTTTATTTCCATAACCTGTATAAACTTAGGGTGGCTGTCTTACTTAGCCAGTGTGGTGTCTATACCACTGTACACCAGCACAACAGTCTATTCATGAGAGACTTGAATGCCCTGGAAATAAATCCAAATGATGTCAGATATTGCTACTCCTAATTTAACATATCACTGGGGAAAAATAGTCTCTAACTCTTTGTTTGGGCTAGGTTGGAAAAGCTTTGAAGCATTGCTTGTATAGAGAGCATTGCATCAGTATCTTGCTGATAGTTTCACTATATCCAAGCTAGTGTTTTGGCATTTGGCCAACATCAAAATGAAATTTAGTTGATTCAGTAAGTGAATGAATGAGTAATTCTACTGCGCCTCAAAATTCACCTCTTATTGCTTCTTCCATAATTCTTGGTTATTGGGCAGCCTCTAAGAAATAATTGTATTAAGACTACGTGGATGGAATTAACGTCCTCAGGAAATTGGGATATAATTTGGAAGCTTTGCCAGGAATTGCCTCAAGAGAAGCAGCGTGTGGCCCCAACCTCCACCCAGGAACACCTTGTGCTGGTTGATGTGTGTCTCCTGCTTGATGGTAGGTCTTTCTTCACAAGGGTGGGTTAAAGGACACATCTTTTTAAAACTTGCAGCCGTACATACAGGGTGTTAGAGAAGTAGTTCTCATGCTGGCTGCACGTCAGAGACACTAAATTACAGAGTCTATCATAGAATCACTATTGCAACCTCTATCACAAAGTCACTATCTCTTGCAGAGTCACTGTTTCTATCACAGTCACTATTTCTATCTGAAACCAATCTAATTAGTTTCTCTGCAGTAGATTTGGGCATCAGTTTTGAAAACTCTTTAGGAGAACCACCACTGTCTAATATGCTTCAACTTAAGCCATAAGGGGAATGAGCCCCCTAAAGTGGGGGAAAGGTCTGCTGAACACAGTGTTTCTTCTAACTGTAGATGTTGCCAATACTGAAGGTCCCAGAAAAGATTCAGTAGAGTAGCGATCACTGGTTTGTGCTACTCCATTGAGATGGCTGTTTGTGCTCTCACAAACCCCAAGGATCTACATGGCGTCCGTTCTGCTTTCACTGTATAGTACATATTATTGGGGAATGTTCCTCTCTGCACCACAAAAACCCAGCCTGCTGTTTCCCCGGAGCTGTCAGTGAAGTTGTGTCACTGTTTATAGGAAGAAAGGAACATTGTTGGGGGTCTCCCAGACGCCAGAGTGTTCTAAGAGTGCTCTCATGTGCTGTCTCTAACCCTCATAGTCCTTTTACATAGAAGGACAAGGAAGCTGAACTTTTTCAGGTTCATCTGGCTAGGAGAGGGGCAGAACTAGTTAGGGACCAAGTTAGTGCAGAGTACATGATTCTGTCACACTAAGCTGCTACCTGATTACCTAATTACCCTTTTCACTAGGGATGACGATGACGAGAGTCTTTTTTGTTACTAAAACCTTGGTTTCCAACTCAGGAGTTGATAAAAGTAGGATCTCAGCCAGGACTGGAAGTCTAGTTTTACCAGCCGTGAATTATTTCCAGGGAAATTGTAATAGCCTAGGAGGGTGCTGCTCACACTAGAAGGGAAGATGGAGAAGAGGCAGGAAGGCCGAGGGCTCGCGGTTAGAAGGTAGCTTCTGTCTTTGTTCACTTACTTTCTGTTATCAACTACAAATTTTACTCTCCTGTCTCTCTAATTGTTACCTCTCCTTTCCCTCTCTGGTCTAGCCCTTGCTTATCTTCCTACTTTCATCATTTGTTCAAAACCTCCTAGATATCATTTATGAAATTATTTAAGACTTTTTGCCTAGGTTATGAATTGAGGGCATATTTTGGACAGCACTGCCTGATAGGGTATTAAAAAAAAAAAGATTTATTTGTGCATACAGAACTCGGGTACATGTGAGATGGAGGGGCAGTGAGAGGATTCACCAGAGACAGAGAGGGAAGCAGAACAGGCAGATCAATGAAGTACACTGCTGAGGGGAGCAGCGGGCGGGTCAGGAGAGGTCTGCCACGCCATGTGGTCACCTCTGGGGCAGGCGGGGATCGAACTCATGCGGAAGTGGCTTTAGCTTCTTAGTGCTGTGCTTTAACCCGCTGCGCCACCAGGGAGGGCCCTGACAGGGTATTAACCTGCACCTCGCTGTAGGGTAATAGAATGCTGTGGCCAGTGCTGAGTCATAAAAGGAACTTTGAGGCAGGGCCCTTGCTGAAGAGGGACAGCTGAGCTGTCCCTTGAGTCACTGTCCTTTTACTGCCCTCCTTGAGAGTTTGTTTCCTTGTGAAAGCTGGTCGAGTAGAATTATTTAATTTTTTAGCAAGTCCATGAGATAAATACTTTCCACTTACTATGGAGTTGTCATCACGGTTGAGATGAAGGCACCTGTCCTTGGCCTGACTTCTCTGCGGTGTTTGTTACTGGATTCTGAATCTGACCATTTTGTGTCATTTCTGATGTGAAGTGTGAGGGTTTAAGGCTAATCTTGGAGGCAGAAGTGGTCACATGTGGATCGGCATTGACACTATAGGTAACGCCACCCTGGGCAAGTCATATAACCTGAGCTGACATACTTCTGCCTTTAAAGAACCTATGTTTTCACTGAAAAAAGAAAGGTGGAAAAAAACCAGGGGAGGGTGAGAAGGGGAAAGAGAAAAAAAAAGTCCTCTATCAGCAGATTGATCTACTTAGGCTAGTGGTGAGCCATTTCTGGCTTGATTTTTCTTAATGATTAAAAGAAAAAAAAAAATAAGGTCATTCCAAGCTGTCCAGTAAGAAGACTACAGAATGAGAGCCCTATATGTGGAGGGATGAGGCTTCAGTCTGGGGTCCTGTGCACTTGCACATTTGCAAGTGAGCATTGGCGATCTACTCTGGGAGCCCAGATTCTGTGTATTGTGTGTGTTGGTGTTGGGGTCTGGGTAGCTAGATATGTTGTCGGAAGTTCTCAGAAGGGAGCTGTCCTTCGTTTTAAGTGCATTCCCCTCTCTGGCCCCACTGTGAGCTTCTTGCCATGTGAAAAGATGAACCTCCCACTCTCCCAAAGAAAAGGTGAACTTCTAAGAAACTTGTGTTCAAATGAGTCAGACATGGGAGCTGGGAAGTGAACACTGGGATTTCATTCCTCCAGGACTATCTTGTGGCACCACCTTCTTGCTGGATGGGGGTGAGGGGGGTGAACTCTGTGTTGGAAATGAAGTAAAGGTCTCTGTCGTGGCTCTTCGAGGCTCTAGTTAGCTGTGCTAACCCTGTAACACTCCAAGACTTGGGCTAATGGAAGCTTCTGAGCTTGAAGCTGGTTAGAGAGAACTCTTTTCTCTGGGAGCCAAAGCTTTTAGCCTTCATTTGTAATATTCATGACTTGGTGCAGAAGTAAATTTGTGGAGAACTTTTTTTTAAGATTTGTGCACTTGCACATTTGCAACTGGGGTACAGGCCAGAGGCTCAGGGGCGGTGAGAGACAGAGTGGGGAACAGAACAGGCAGATTGACGAAGTACACTGCTGAGGGGAGCAGCGGGCGGCGGGTCAGGAGAGGTCTGCCATGCCATGTGGTCACCTCTGGGGCAGGCGGGAATCGAACTCATGCGGAAGCGGCTTTAGATTCTCAGTGCTGTGCTTTAACCCGCTGCGCCACCAGGGAGGGCCCATTGTAGAGAACTTTTACAGCCAGTGTCTGCACTTGTCAAGTTTTAAAACTGTTACCAACAATCAGTGCAAAATCAGTTATGCTACTAAAACAACTTAGGCTAATTAAAACCATTTTGGCTCATCAAAACCCACTGTACTGCATCTGAGTGAGTTAATTGATAATGTGATTAAACACAATGAGACTGTAGACAAGAAAAAAACACTGACAAGCTTTGAAAAAATCTTCTAACATTTTAAATTGAGACCAGCCCTCCCACAAAGAGTCTTGAAGCAAAGTGATACATTTTATTAACCTAGTACTAATCT